CTTTCTAACTTCTTTTATATAATTCCACTATATAATAATGATATAATGATATAATAACGATGGTATGAATAAGAAAGAATATAAGGCATCTACAGTAGCTTCACTATATAAAGATGGGACATTTGAGACTCTACGTAGGATTCCTAATAATGCAGGAATTAGAGTGGCATGTAAACACTCCTACAAACTCACTCAGGTAGGACAAGCTCTGTGGGTTAAAGGATCCTGTAGGTTGATCCAATTAGACAAAATAATATAATTTACAAAATACTTTGCAATGACTGTGAGTTAAGTCAACTACATAGGTCAAACTAGTAGATCGGGAGTAGTTAGATTGTCGGAAAATAAGAATTTAGTGGCTAAGGTTAGAGTGGTTGACCCCGAGAAGATAAGTAATTTAGAAAAAAGCTCAGCACTACGTCGCACTGCACGCATTAACAAACAACCGCACAATAGAGTGGGTGGGATAAAGTCCCAATTCTAAAACGTAGTTAAGGTAGGTGGAGAAAGAGGTTGATTACTGAATTCTGGTTCATCGAGTCTACATCCAACACATGCAATAGGAATGATTCATCACTCATACCGAAAATATCGAAAATACTACTACCAATCAAATTAAGCGATGAAAAAGGATGGAATTATATAAACGAAGCTAGAAAGTTGTGTGTGTGTGTGTGTGCCTTAATATGATTATGAGTAGTAATAAATTGTGCTCGAAACGTGGTCATCAGTAAATATTACTGTATAACAACACTGTGAGACTTTATCAAAATAAGTTTTAACCATAAGGTATCTAATCGTCTAAAAACATCGAAACTTCTTTAAAACAGCCAAATACAACATTTGAAACGTTTGCATAATTTTTTACCCTTTCATAGTCACCTGTTCGACAGGATGAACCATAGTTGGTCAGTTAATATCAGTTAGGGGGCTCACTTATCGTAACTTCACTTTGGTGAACAGAAGCTGACGAGCATGCTTCTACTGATATAGAAAGAAGTGTACTGGAGTAGAAGCAGAAGATTCTACGTTGCCTGTAAGACGGCGGAAGTTCCAATCATATTTCCATAGAATTCAGAAGAATTTCTGTTCAGTATCTCAAATGTGACATCCAGGTCAAACCAAATTCAGGCATTATCTATCACTCGGCACCAAATTCTGCCATCAAACTCCCTCACTGAATCTAAATTTGAGAGTTTAGTTATACAAACAAGAGACATTGGTTGAAGTATGCGCTGAAGATGTCGCCTAGAAGGACGATGAAATCTTCGCCGCAAATTAACTATCCAGCTGCTCAGAGAACACAACCACATCAAAATCATCCACCTGAGCTACAAATCTTCTCTATTATATCTGTATCTTACGAGCGAGACACGCTTTTCTCTCTGTTCGAAAGTGGGAAGACTTCGCCAAAAGGCAAGGATCCACCAGAGAACAATTATTCTTTCTCCATGAGTGCCTTCATCGTCAAATCCTAGCGACCAGTGTAAGATACAGACCATCAGTCAACTGCCCAATGGGATGGAAATTGGCCGAACAATTAGGAAGACATTGGTTTGTGTTACTATACTTCAAATCAACTGTACTTGACTGTTGCTTGAAGTTGAAAAACTCAACCATCGACCTCTGACCAAATAACATATCGTTGAATTAAAGCAGTTGTTCGGCGTTAAAGACCTAATTATTACGCGTGCAGCTGAACACTATGAAGCTGTTTTAGTGAACAGATGAGACAACATGGTCAGATGTCAGAAACTCTCAGTTATGGCAGAAAATCCTCGTGAAGTAATCTTGTAACCAATGAAATCCCTGCAAACTAACACTTGAATGTAACATTCAAGGTAGATAGTTTCATGGGTTCCAGTGGAAGTCATAACCTGTAAGGTCCACCACCAGGTCGGATATGAGGACAGATACTTACCAGCAATAACACTGGCTAGTGCCAGTCGTTCTGTATCGTGAACAGACAGAAGTTTGAATTCATGGGTGGTTGGCCGTTGGATCGGGTTCCAGTGACTTAGTGGTCTACGAGCTAGCTTGCCTCGTAGTCGAAAGTTCTCGTGTTCGAATCCTTGTGGTGGGTGCGTACTACCGATGAGTTTTAAACTAGGACGAAACAGCTGTCCGTTACCCCTAGTGGTTTTCCAATGGTTCTCTAACCGATGTCAGCTCATGATGAAATCCTCCAACCAATTCTGAAATTTCTCAGGTAGTTGGTACTGTGCATGAACTCATGTTATTTCGTAATACGTGTGTAAAGTAATCCTATAAACACCTTAGATGTTACACTAAATTGTGTTGAAGGGTGTTTCATGAACCGGTAACTCAACGATAGAATACTCTCCAGGCACGCCGATAGGTTCGGCGTTCGATTCCCGGTATACGGTCACACTCCTGAAACTAGCTCAGCCGTTAGTAATCCCAGTAAACAGGGAAAGGTGAGTGGGGCTAGCAGCACCGCCTCTACTGAAAACCCAGAGCTCATTCTTAAAGCCCTCTGTTCCACTCAGAAAGTGAAGGAATAAGAAAGGGTGTTTTATCGATTTTTCGTCGTACCATTTGTTATACTATATGAGAAAATACCTCGAGATTACTTTAATTCTCACCCATTAGTATTATTTGATTCAATCATGACTGACACTCAGTGCTTGAGTGCTTGGGTCACCAAAGCATCAGTTAAGTTGACAGTATCCAGAGTGTTATTTGTTGCACAATTTATAGATTTTTTTGGAGGATTACACTGTCTGAATTCCAGTTCATTCTTGTTTTAGTGCTTGTGACATGTCGAATACCATCAACTAATCACAATTATGACAAAGTGGTTACTCAGGCATGCATAAATGCACGCACACACATACACACACATAGAAGTAGAACCATAGAACGCAGACTTAATTTCAGCAGTCACCTCACTCGCCTTTCCCCTTCCTCTCTCAACATCTCTTCACAGTCGTTAGAGTATCAGAACTGTCTAATTTACATCTTGTCAATCAAGAGTGGTGGCATATATGTATGTGTGCGTGTGTGCGCGAAATCTGCTCATCTCTCTACATGTTAACTCATCTCATCTGATGACTGTATTCCAATATATATATATATATCGATCTATATGAAACCCAATATACGAATGCAGTACTAACGAAAACTAATAATGAAGAAAGTTTTCACAACCACTCACCAACAGACACACACATACATGTATTATATTGTTAATCATACCTTTGAGCGTTTTACGTCGTATTTTCAACAAGGTCCCCGGAGGAGCGGGCGGTACTGTTAATTCCCGGAAACCCATTTTGCCCCCCACCCCCAGAGCCAGTATCCCTGCTGAGTAGACAACACCTGAGCGACGTTTAAGCATGAAAGTGAACACCCCGTGCCAGGCACCCCATTAACGTTCCCGCAGCGGTAGGTGTTTTCGCACGCACCCCCACTGTCCGGTCTCAACGAAACTATGGCTGCTTCTCAGATGGTACGTACTGCTCCAGCTCAGCGGGTCATGGCCACTCTCATGATTCGGTCACATAATTGCAATTCCACCTTGCAAGTAGCATACAACCATCATCCTCGGATCAGGGATAATTCTTTAAATCGACATAAATACGGCAAGAGCACCTAAAATGCTGACCACCCTCTCACCGGTGGCTCCCCTCCGCTGACCAAGATAAGCATGAATAGGAGATTTAACTTTCTGTGAAGGCTCCTCCTATCCAGCTCACCTTAGCCTATGAGAACATTCCACATCCGGAACCACCAGAAGTCCTAAATGCTTCCTGCACAGAGACAATAGTCATACACACCTGTTGGGGCGGTTGTACAAAAATGTTTAGTTTGATCTAAGAGACTGAGTCCCCGGACCGCGGGCGGTTACTCCCACGGCTGGGAGGAACCCTGAAGCTTGCGCGCCCGAGCAACTGGAGGTCGCGCCACCTCCCTCCGCTATATGACCCCGTTGGATGGTTTTAAAGACCTACAACCAGCCGTGGAGACCCACGATCGATCGGAGTCCGACGAAGCCTTAAAGGCCACCATTCGTGAGCAAACTAGTGTCGGACATAATCCCCTCATAGGTCGTCTGAAGGTTCGAATCAAGCTGCCTCTTTGTTATAAGGATACGAGACTCTCTCCAACATCCTTCCCGCTCGGTTTTCATGACAACGCTACCGTTTGCAGTCAATGACGCAGTGCCCCCTAAGACGCCTTAGCACCAAAGAGGATTACAACCAGAACAAAGCCACATTCGGCGATCCAAAGGGCAAGAAATAGTTCGCTCTCTTCCTGACAGGATTTAGCTAGGGCAGCCGGAAAACCACCCCACCCAGCGGGAACCACGCGGAGGTACCTGTCAGCGCGACCATTACCCTTTAAAGAGTCGTAGTTACTCCAGCAAACCAACAGAAACGCGCATGCATATATTATATTGTTAATCATATCTTAGATTACATTAGGATATCCCCGATTTCACCTTGTTTTCCGTGACTCCCAACAATCTCTCCTTTCCTGTTTATGTGATTTTATCAATGTCACACTTGAACCCACGCTTAACTAGTCATCTCAAACTTGGGTTCCATTGGAGGGTCTCACCCGCAATTTCACTCAGTGGTGATCTCATCAATGTGTACGTGTAAATTCGTTGAATGATAGTTTCTTGATTTGTCCGCTGCCAGAATTCCTAGTTGTTAATCCTTTCTCTCCAGCTATCTGATCTTCAGAACCGAGACAACAAAAGCAGTTGCTGTTGGTAGAAGTCTTCAGTTAAGCCGTTGTAAATGCTTCTGGTGACGTGTTCGCCAAATCTCCAATCTATAAAGAAGTAATGACTTGACATTAGCACTGAAACTCCGGATCTTGTTCCCCGTGCTTTACTGTATGTCTGTGTGTGTGTATGTGCAGTAGACTTCCATAACGACTTCATAGTAATAAAATGGTCTATCTTCCTACCTCCCTGTCTACAATAAATCAATAATACTGTTTTTTATTCGTTTTTCTTTCCATTCTAGTTGGGAATCACCAGAACTCAGATCAATGGGTTTCAAATCTTCACTGTAAGTTTCAGATTGACAACAAAAACCTGTTTCTATTCTTCAGTAATACCATCACCATGGTCCTCCTGTGTGTCCGCATTAAGTACTTCTTGAATGAAGGATTGTAATATTATATATATACCTCATAGTTTTCGCTAACGAAATTTCCACCTAGTCGATTCGCGAGTCTACTGTTTTAATCGCTATTAGCAACTACTACAACGACACGATACGATACCATTACTACACAAGAAGACATGAAGACAGACCGTTGACGTAGAGAGCTTTTACTGTCTTGAATCAACAGCGAAAACGGTTGACAGCAATGGCGTATATTTAAATGCCTTAAATGACCTTGAAAGATACTAATTACCTCGATAAGTTAAAATAGTCAACAACCAATAGGATTCCAAGGTCATAAGTGTGGGGATGGCGGATTAATTCAAACAGCACTGTACTGTAGAGATAAATGTAGTAGTTCAGAATAAATAGGTCTATATAACAATACCCTCAGCAATTTTATCTTTTCGCACTTATATAATGATAACCTAATATTGACCATTGTGTAATAAAGTCTAATAATACTGGCAGCAAGATGTAATCTTCAGGCTAATTGTCTTGGCATCAGTTATTGGAAGTTGGTTCGTCCAGATTTCTGTTCAGTATTAAAGTTTTACACTTGCTGACAGTCACCAGAAATCCGAGTGTGTGTCTGAGGAAGTGTCTTCGAAAACAACTTGAAGAAGCTCATACTCCTGCTAAAACCCTAATCTAGCACTGTATAGCTGACTTTTTTTCCGTAGAACTTAGTAGTATCCTTAAATTCATTATGGGATATTTCAGAGATGTAACTGCTGTGATACCCAATAGACTGTATCTTGAATGAGTGTTTAGTGTGCCTTCTAAGTAGCACAAAATGGTACAATGTTTATTGTTGCGACAGAAAAATATCTCACGAATTTAGTGTTGCACTGTAAGGATTATAGAACCATTGAAAATCGGTGAATATTGGATAAGTGTTTCGTCCTAATTTGGGGATCTTCATCAGCCTATATACCCGCAAACCCACAGGAGAACTGAATCTACAACTTTCACATTATAAGGCGAACTGATTAGCGATTCAGTCACGGGATGTGAATTTGATGACACCTACACCTTAACTCCTGTCAGTTAGTAACTAATGCCGTAGGCGAGTTTTCGTGGACAGACCTCACTTGTTGAACCCCATTGGTCTATTTACCATCCAGGGAATATTTTCTGGAGTCAGTCATTCAATGGGTGAATGCTCACAAACCAAGCACGACGTCCCAGGCTCCATTTCCGGCCGACGCACTTCTATACTCCACCTAGCCAAAAGTAAGGCCGATAGAATGGGAAGGTTGAACGCGAAAATTACAACTCCACACCGCGGAAATGAACAACAACACTGATACTGCATCTTCAGAGGTTAAGCTTAAAGCCCTGTGTTCCACATGCAATACAAAGAGATGAAGATAATATCCAATAGTAGTGGGTTAATTATCGAATGTTGCGTTGTGTAGAGATTCTAGTCAATGATAGGTGACTGGAGATAGTAGGTAGGAAGCCTTGTACAAAGGTTTTGTACCTAAATGGTACTCATCAACAAGTTGTATCTGCATTCCTGAAGCAAATGATGCGTCTACGAGATTCCAAACGATATCATCCTCTGCTTTAGTTAAACATTTTATCGGTGATTATCCTTCAGAAGTATGCACCCATGACTCCAGCAGGGTTCGAACCGAGGACATTCAGGTTACAATGCAAGGCCACTGACCATTCAGTCACTAGGACGGAACCCAATGCTGCATAAATTACGACTTCTGCCAATTCACGACATAAAGCGTCATCACTAGTCAATGTGATCGGCGCCTAAAACGTCAGTGAATTTCACTGGATTAATTCGCCAGTGTTAACTTGCAGGAATTTGATCGATTTTAAGGTAGATAACGAACAATTGGGTGTCTAGCGCTGAAGAGTCCTAAACTAGAACAAAAAATCTGGACCTATCTAGTACTCCTTGCTCATTTTCAATGGTTCTGTAACTGATGTTATTGCGCGGTCAAACTTGACGCCAATCGAATCGCAGAAAATTAGTTCTTACCTTAAAAATATTTCGGCTTGACATTGTTCTTTTTTTTGGTTTTTTTTTATTTAGCATCTTCGGTTTCGTTGCTAGGAAACAGAATACACGTGAGAATATGTGTCATGTTCTGTGTGATACACCAGAATATAATGCAAACATTATTACAGATTACATTATGCATCGATTAAATGAATATTAATGATTTCCTTTTCTGTGCAATCTCAATACTGATGTTATGTTTTAACCCCAACCGTCACCTATTATTCCTGTTGCTCGACATCTATCTAGAACTCCTCGATAAAGCATTCCTCGCATACACTGTCTTCGATACTTATAATGGTGAAAGCTATCCCCCATAAATCAAATCTATCCAACATGTACACAATAATCGTCAGATCTTTTGTTTTTGTGTTCCAATCTGAATAAAGTCAAGTTAATACTTAACAAGAGAATCAACCATCTTATCAGTAGTACACAGCATTACAGTTCATCGCTGTTCAACAGTTATACACAAAGAAGGAGTTTGTTTTCTGTACAACTTTTACAGTCTTCCAGTGTTCCAACTCTCTTTATCGGCAACGAAATATTTGTAAGAAAACGAATCAAGTTACACTGATCAGTCAGTCTCCTTCTCCCTGTCTCTCTTATAAATATGATATCTCTAGTATATTATGATTAATATACACGGTAACTAATTAACTAATTAATAGGACCAATATTCAAATTTTTTGTTCAATGTTCAACATACATGCATATATTTACGTGTTCATATAATTGAACAACTAATGGCGATTCGCATTTATTTATGAACTCTGTATATTATTTAATTTATATAGATCGATCGATAGATACATAGATAGTCAGATAGATAGACAGACAGACAGATACATGTTATACATGTCTATATATTTATTGATCAGGCATATTAATGGACCAAATTTTGTATATTTTATTTTAATTGGCTAGATAGATAATTACCTGTCTGCCTGTCTGACTGACTAACTAACTAACTAATTGGTTGATAAACTGACACATTATCGACAAATTATTATTATTATTTAACTTCAACGTCCAACAGACAAAAATGGCGCGGGAATGTGTGTAGGTGGATTTGTAAAGTACAGGACAGTAATCCAGAATCTTTTCACGTTGCATGGTGTAGAAACGTACAGAATGCCAGAGAGAGAGAGAAAGAGAAATATCCTCCTCCACCTTCTTTGGCCTTTATTTACTTATTCTTCTTATACAACATATGCTCTCCTTTACTTCTGTGATAAACTGTGCACTTTTAAACTATTATTATTTTGATTATTAGTAGTAATAATAATAATAATTATCATTACGCATGTATACACACACACACTATACCAACACGCAGGTCTGCGAAAGTATACAAGCTTGCCTTGTATTGATGTGTATGAGAGAGCGGTAAATATAAAATTCTCATCTACAAACACTGTAATGTTTTAGTAATTATTAATTAAAACTGTGTAATATTCAAATGTTTCAAATTATTTATAAACACATACATACATGATGTACTTTAATTTATATTAACCTAAAAACCAAAAGATCAAAATGATGTTTCACTTGTTTAAAGTGATTAAACTCACTTTCGAGAATAGATACGTATTGTTTCAATATCTGAAATCGTAAATATATATTTATCCAATAAGTATATTTGTGTATGGTATAATGAGTAATAAATATAATGTGAGTAGACAGAAACAAAAGCATAAACGATCTAATCTACAGAATATAATATTAGTACTTCCAAATTAATGATATACATAAGACTGATGATTCATTTCTTAGATTATTGATTTTCCCACATTTAAAATACACACCCACGCATAGATATACAGACACGCACACACATAGACACATGCATATATACACAGATACGTATTAATTCTACATGTTCTCCAGCTATTTCAAACTTATTGGACCAAGTTTACATCTAGTGTCGTGATATTCCAAGACGTTTGTTTGACGTCTAAAGAAGCAAATAAGAGTTTCTGTCTCTTGACACATAAATATACCAATCAATATGATATTGATTTTGTTCAGTTATCTGTTTTATTATACTTTTCTATTCACATAAAAGTTAATAATGGGATACTTTATACTATATTATATATATACTACTAATATACATGAACATATACATATATAGCCTAGTTATACGCACAATTCAAAAATGGATTCTAGCGCTTTTTCAAATTATATACTTGTATGTTGAACAGTGAACATATGAATATATAAATATATGAACATATATATATATATATATATATATATGAATGCAATACATAAATATAAGCATCGTATTTATATTTAAAGTTATGCGCAAATTCAAGTTCCCACTTGAGTCTTCTGTTTCCGTTTTGTTTTATTTTAATACTTTTTCCGGAATTAAAATCATATTTGTTGCGTTCTTCTGGTAAATTGGAAAATTCCATGAAAACGATGAAACAGATAGTTAAATTTTCTACATGTAGGCATCTTTAGACCGAAGGACCTTAAGAGCCTATTTCCCCTGACTGAAAGTATCTCAGGAAACTTAAACATGCCTACTGTCAATACATTATTGAAGTTCCGCACTACTGAGCTGTCTCCTGAAGTATTTGGTTATGAATGGTCAACAACATCAGATCGTGACATGACAGTCGTTGGTTTGACCCTTGGTGTGCACTGTTGAAGAGTCTGAAACTCGGACGAAACACATACCCATTGTTCTGAGGTTTCCAGCGGTTCTCTAACTTGTATGGGTTTGTAAGGAAATATGTGATGACCTTCTTGAATCATTAGACTATCTGAATTTCCATCCGACATAATGCATTATATATTCTGTAACTCTTACTGCTGTAACTACTTAATTATGTCTTTGAATCGTATAGTGTGCTGTCGCACATCTTCAATTGGCTTTCGTAGGATCGGTGAACGTTTCTCTCCAGGTCGAACAGCACTGCGTCACATGATATACTGTAGATCGCTATTTTACTTTAAGATTCAGGATGAAGATAAAAGGTATTATGCAAAAAACTGCGCTGAGGATTCCATACATTGTGTAAAGACCTTCTCCAGAAAATATCTATCGTTATTGAAAACAAACTTCCACTGAAACCGATCACAGTGATCACATGCATATCTCTAAGGTTGAAACAAAACTCATATTCCCTTTTTAGGGATTCCAACTTGTATCACCCACTTCCGGAAGTTAGAGAGTTCACTATCGATTATATAAGACTGTAAATGAGTTTCCCCCCCCCCCCCTTACAGGACTGAATGGTGTTGACTTGTCTATATGACCTGCTTTCTATTGTTTGATAAGATTATCATGAGAGACGATTATTAAAGTCATACAGAGAATTTTCTAGGTCTAATTTCAAAATGAAGTCATCGTTGAAGGTGTTGGTTAGGAAGACAATGAAACCTTTACGCTTAAACCATCCTTCCAGCTCAGAGAAGACAAAGTGAAACGACAGAAGACAAGGGCCATGCAACAGATCGGTTATTTAGGAAATCAACAGATATTTATAGATTTGTATGTACATTATTATTAGCGTTATTGTTAGCGGAGAAGCAACCTCTTATGATTGGTTGTTTTCTCTCTGAAGGTTATTCTGTTGTCTGTTTGTGGCTGTTTCTTAGAAAGCTAAGCCATATATCTGCGAATCGTATTCGCACACGTTAACTCTTATGTGATTAGTTGGTGAGTTACTCAAGGTTAAGCTTTTTTATTGTTTTTTCTCATGACCCCAACTCAGGAAGTAAACACTGGCGTAAATTGTTGCCTACAATTTTAGCTTGCAGACAGCTGTCTCACCACAAAAATACACGAGTATATGTCTTGGGCATAAGAGAACTAACTCGACCAAGCATCTAAAAAACACCTCATGTCGATAAGATCTCTAGATTTTATCTCAATAAATTTTTGATCCCATCGGTTTGACAATAAGCACCATAGTTTACTCCTTATATCTGACAAATTCCAGTTGATTAGGTTGTAGTCCAACTGAAAAACGACTTGGTTTAAAAATACCTCACATAAAAGCGATAGTAACGGTCGAAGAGTCTGTAAATGTAGATAGTTGTGCCAGCGTGGATAGAGTTGTGAAGATAAACACTGACAACCGTATGATGACAGGTAAAGCGGTATAAACGAACAATAGTCACCTTTAGTACCACCGCGATGTCAGTATGGTAATCAAAAGTCTAGCTTACGATGCTCCATTTCTCCGAAAACTGAACAATTTGAGTAGAGCATGTGCAGAAACTCTTCGTGTTTGATCACCTCTGTCTCTGTACATCAGGTAACAGTAAGATGTAAATGATTCTAAGGTCCGATAGTGCATGTATGAACAATATGAAGATGGCCTCTAAATAAGTGGTCATCATGGGTATACACGACGAGTATTATCCAAGAAGCTGATATACTGTTTACTGTCTACTAATGTAGCGACAGATGATTTATTGAGAAAATCAACAGATATTTATTGATTTGTATGTACATTATTATTCGTTATTGTTAGCAGAGATGCAACATCTTCTGATTGGTTGTTTTCTTGCTGAAGGTTATTCTCTATTGCTTGCGACCATTTCTCAGAAAGTTAAGCCATATATCTGCCAATCGTATTTTCAGACGTTAACTCCGTTGTGATTGGTTGATGAGTTCCTCAAGGTTAAGCTTTGTTATTGTTTTTTCTCATGACCCCCATTTGGGACGTAACTTTGACGTAAATTGTTGTCTGCGATTTTGGCTTGTTTGCAGCCAGCTCTCACCACACCAGCTTTAGTCTCGCTGGGAAAAATAAAGAGAGGGTCAGCCAATGAATTTTCATCAAAATTCATGATACATGAAGTACCTGATACAATAAATGGCAGTCAAATAAACAAGGTGCATAGCAGGATGTCATTTACTTCTATTATGCATAAAATTTTATTTTGATAAATTCATACAGTGTTATACAGTAATATTTACTGATGACCACGTTCCAAGCACAATTTATTACTGCTCAGAATCATTCCAAGTTACTCACACTCACTCAGATAGGACAAACCCTGTAGGTTGACCAAATTAGACAAAATAATATAATTTACAAAATACCTTTCAATGACTGTGAGATAGGTCAACTACATAGGTCAGTCAAACCACTGGATCAGGGATAGTCAGACTGTCGGGACATAAGAGTTCAGCCAAGTGTAGAATGGTTGACCCCGAGAAGATAAGTAATTTAGAGAACGGAAGCTCAGCGACTGCACTGCATGCATTAACACACAACCACACAATAGAGTGGTGGGAGGGGGTTAAAATTCTAAAAAGTGATATATGTAGGTGGAGAGAGAGATTGATTACTGAATCCTGGTTCATCGAATAAGCTACACCCAACACATGCAATAGAAGTGACTCAACGGAAATACCAGAAATATGGAGGATATTATTACCACCAGTCAAATCAGAGGAGGATAGTAAATAATCTTAAAATTCTATTTCAATTCACGTACATTATAACATTTTAACAAGTTACTTATTTTGACTATAAAAAAATTGTCTTATTTCCCATCTGATTGTATTTGATGGATAACGCTAATTCTGTTTCCGGAAGGAATTTATCTTGATCTTATTCAGATGTCTTATCATCAATTTTTACTCATGTATATAAATGAAAAAAGAAAGTTGTGTGAGTAGTGCCTTGATATGACTATGAGCAGTAATAATTTCTGTTCGACTGACTGATGAAGCCATGTTTTGATTTGACTACCACTGGCTCTTTTCCAACCTAACCCTATGTCAGCAAACATTGCCCTCGAGGAAGGCGGTGGCTAGGCATGCATACCAGACGTCCTAACTATCTCAGTTGGTGTAAGTTCACAGCCATGTCGATTGATTTCCCCTTCTTACCTAGCATTTGAAGCCTAACCTCAATATTGCTCACCTTATTATACCACTTCACTTGGGAGATAGAACGTGGGCACCTATGATCAAAGACAGGTAGCATTTTCATGTCTTCCACTTTCAACGGCCATGTCTCACAGCCAGCCATAAAGCGAGACGGAGAAAACTGCTTAACGGTACACACGTTATTTGGTCTGCAGTCAGCCGGATATCACATCTACCAAGTCAAAGATGGAGTAAGTTAGGGTATGACAAACACGCCTTCTGTATCCGTGCTGACATTTCGTCAGCGATCAACCCACTGAGGCTGATGAAACTTCCCAATTAAGTGAAAAAGTCAACACGCTCTACCACTGCACTCCCTATTCTAAGCTAAGAGTCGACGTAGTCCAGTTAGTCCTGTAGCATCATGTTACAGTTGACAGGAGAGAATCACACACCAAGCACTTACAGATTGCAGCTCAAGGTGTTCATAAGACTCTACATTATGTCAGAGTCCTCACCTCAACGTACGTCCTCCATCAATTGCTTCTGAACAGTACTGGATGCATATACGACTTCCATAGCAACATTTATGAGTACGTGCTATCAAACTATTATCCGAAACATTATTTAAAAGCCAGATTGGGGTAACGCTTATGCCTCAATTCAAGCACAGAATCATTGAAAGGCAAGAAGCACTAGATACGTGTTGTGTCCTGATTTGAGAATTTTCAGCAGTAGGGCCAGACAGACCTACAGGGTATCGTACTCAGGACATTCAAGACACGAGACACTACGAATACCCCAGCGACTAATGAATATCACCTCAAACTACTTTTATTCATGCTCAGTTTTTAAACACAAACTTCGTGCAATATATGCTGACCACCTCACCGCTTTCATCCCACAATCCAAGGGCTAGCAAACAGCGAACGGTACGGTAACCACTGCACTGACATTTATAGCAAATGTCCAAGATATCAAATGCAGTATCCCAAGATGGTAACACTTATTGAAAGACGATTTCCACAGCTTTCAAACATTCTCCACCAGACTTCAGAATGGCTTAAATGATAATCCTACTAGATACAAGCAAGTCTATGGAGTCAGCGATGACCGAACACTAAGAGTCGCTGCATATCCTTAGCTCGGACAGACTAGGTCTCATCAGCGTAGAAAAAGACGGCGCTCACCGAAACACTAATAATCCAACTCATGACAGCTCCAGTCGTAACCCAATTTGACTTTCCCCATACCGTTAGTTATCTCATCCGAATACCTTAGAAAGCACTAACACAACAACCGACAGACACAAAGTTATCCACTACAGAATTCTGACAGTCTTTTAACAATACTTCTCGGTCAAACAGAGTAAACTATATCTTTTAAAGGGAAACATGGGTACATCAAACACAAAGTACCACTTATGGAAACCGTGAACTTTGATGCGACGAACTCATAAGACGAAACATCGATGTTGGCATTCCTAAATCTTTTATGAAAGAGCTTCTCTTGAATTGCACAATGAATGCCCACTTTTTATTTAACAAGGAAATATACAGATAAATCGATGGTGTGGCAATGGGGTCACCATTAGGACCCATTCTAGCCGACATTTTACTTGCAAACTAGAAAATAGGCCTTTGGAGGATTTTATTGATCAACTTGAATTCTACTGTCGGTACATGGATGATACATTTTTGATTATGAAAAATGAGGAGGAAGCAAAGAACATCCTGGATAAATTTAACGAGGTTCATCCTGCAATAAACTTTACTACTGAGAAAGAAAGAGACTCTGGTATTTCACTTCTAGACGTCCTTATGATCAGAAAATAGTGTGGCACAATAAGAAGTGTATACAGAAAACCTACATTAAGTGGTCAGTATACTCATTTTCTCAACTTTGTGCCCTTGAAATTCAAACGCAATCTGACAAAGTGCTTGGTTCACAGAGCAAGAGCAATCTTCTCGGATGTATATATTGATGAGGAACTCAAAAATATTAAACGGTTGCTGAGTGAAAATGGTTATCCAGAAAAGTTTATTGATAAGAATATGAATCTAAAATCAAAGCAGGCCAAAGTACCAACAGTTCCTAAAAAGGCCTTATTCTTAAAAGTGCAGTTTATCGGCGATGACATCAGCGAGATACTATCACAACGCCTAGGGAATACGGCGATAAAAAGAGCATTCCCTACTGCTGAATTACTCTGTGTCTTCAAAACCACTCCTCTTTTGCGTTTGGGAGTAAAAGACAAACTGCCGAATTTCGCCTCTTCCATGTGTATCTACCAATTTAACTGCTCCTGTGGAGTGAGCCAGTTACATAGGCCGTACAATTAGGCGTGTTCCTAGTCGGATTTCCGAACATCACCTTGCCTGGTTAAGTGAAGGACAAACAAAATCTTTCCGTAGCGCTATTCTATTTCATCTTGTGGATACACAACACAAGACTGATGTTAGCCGTGCTTTCAGGATCATTTACCGCATACCAACAAATCTCAATTTCGCGTTAAGAGTTCGACTACTAAATATTGCTGAGGCTATTGCGATCCACATTAACAAGCCTAATTTATGTATCCCAAAGCAGCTAGTTCAGACATTATCTTTACTTTGGTCATCTACGTTTGAATGATACTCATTTTTTGTGGAATTTTCCTAATTTTTCAAGTGTTGGTTTGTAGGGATTTGATTGGTTACAGGATTTCATCATGAGGTGACATTAGTTAGAGAACCATTGGAAAACCTGGGAGTATTGGACAGTTGTTTCGGACTCTTCAATAGTACGCACCCACCGGGATTCGAACCCAGGACCTTCTGGTTACAAGGCGAGCTCGTATACCATTAAGCCACTGGGACCCGATCCAATGGCCCATGAATTCTGACTTCTGCCAATTCACGACTCCTAGCCAATGTCTTCGGCGAGTATTTGTCCTCACACCCGACCTGCTGCACCCTAATTTTTGTCGACATTCTATTTGCTACTATTTCTTTATTATTACCATAATTTAAGCATCTTTAATGAACTGTAATTCCATTGATCTTACTTTACAAATCGATATTATTTAAAAATACACGAATATTGTTATTGACTAATATTTTATGTATATAAACACACTGTATAACTGTAGAGCCAGAAGGGGGAATTATCGAAAAGGATATTATTTGCTCACTTATTTTGTGTTTTATAGAAGATGTCTGAATGAATATTTTCGCTATACAAAAAGCAAAACACCAATATTCTTTTTACCAATCAGTACAATCTATTTCCTACTGCCCTAGGCAAGTTTTAATAAAATCGTATCCTAACATTCACAGGTGAGCCAGTTTTTGTCTTTTGATATTTACGTGGCTCAGTAAAGCAGAAGGTACCACGGACGGATAGGCGTATTTAGCATCTCAGTTGAGTCGTTCACTGAGTCAATATTATTACACCTACGCATAACTCCACTCAACGAGATCATACTAATTGGTGATGAGTTCATTTCAACTGGCGACACAGATGATAACACTAGGTAGTATATACAAGCGTATCGACTAATTCTAACAGTTCATCCACGCAAAAAAGTGATTGCAGGTATAGCCTCCTCCTACCGATCTTGAAATAATACTTTGTCCTTATTCAACGGAACACAGCACATCTTCCACAGAAACATACAGCTAAATCCAAGACAAAACACACCAAAAGATCAATACTTTTTTTGTAAATGATATATTATATTTGCATAAATGTATGTTTGTGTGTGTGCATGTATGTGCACTCAAACATCCAAAGGAGAACAAGGTTCTAATCAATAAGGAATCTAGGTTGAAGAGAGCGAGGGGTGGGCGATAAGAGGAGAAAAGAATCAATCAACCAACAAAACATCTCTTTCATACATGGGAAATAAAATTATTCATCACTAAAGATTTTCATCCTACACGCACAAACACACACGCACAAACAAGCTAGCAGACACACATCTCTATGTTGAGTTGACGAAGCCGACCATTTCCAGTAGCACGAAAGATATATATCAGGCGAAGACAATGGCAACAGCCACAATAAAGACGGTTAGTCAAACCGATAATAGGACTAATTTCTGATCCAATTGTATCAATCATGGCGCACTCACATAATAATAACAAGTAATAATTAGAGTAGTTATAGTCATAGGGAATAGAAGAGAGAAGTCATATTAGTAGTGACAGTAATAATAATAATAATAAAGAGGAATCAGTTATCATGAAGCATTCATATTTGAATTATTAATACGTATTAATCAAGGAAATAAAATGGGAGTTTAGACAGTTCACCATCCCAGCGGACCAACTAATTTCCGGTAAGTTCTGCAAATGTAGAATCCAATTCTTCACTGAGTGCCTTGTACTTCTCTTTCTCAGTAACCAAATCATCTATAGAAACGGTTGTGGGGTGGAGGGTAGAGGAAAAGAAGAAATAAAGGTTATGATAAATGGATAAAGAATTTTGTTGTGTTGCGTATTTTATCTAACCTCCTACTCTAACGCCTACCCTCAGCAACGCGACTATGGAGAGGAGAAACACACCGCCATCACTAAGTAACTCAAAAAAAACAGCATGCCTTATAGAATTTGACAGCTAATCAACACATAAATGATCTCAATGTCTAAACCACCCGTCCAGAGTGGAATTCAAGACTTCACGTTTGAAGTTCCAGAATGAGTGCCTCGGCCATACGCATAGTGTTGGTGAGCATTCAACCATTGGCCAACTGACATGGAACATTATATCCAGAGAAGACTTATACCTCAAGTGGACAGTACCGATGTAGTTGAGGTCCTCTGAGGTGAATGACAGATGGTTTAATAATGACCACGTTTTCACATTATCATTAGGAGGGACAAGCTTAATACTATTATTTTTATATATTCCGAAGTCAGAGGCGCAGAGTGGTTTTCTTGGAAGACACTGGAAACTTCATAAGTAAACCATTAAGTTCAGAGAACAACAGAGTGCTGACCAGGTGTTTCGGACCAATTATGGACTCTTCAACACGTTCGTATACAACGGTTTTCAAAGACTCTCTAACTTGTAACGAATTCGACATTGAAATTAGCCAGAATCCCTGAAAAACTTAGTCTATTTTATGACCTGATTGCTTTATATACGCATATCAAGATGTCACCCTAACTCAGTACCTCGCCGAAGACATTGGCTAGTGGTTGTGCTATGTTGGGAATCGGAAGAATTTGGAATTCATTGGCCAATGGATCGGGTCCCAGTGACTTAATGGTCTGTGAGCTCGCCTTGTAACCAGAAGTTCTTGAGTTCGAACCCAGGTGATGGGTACGTACTTATGAAGAGTCCCAAATTAGGATGAAACAGCTGTCCAGTACTCCCAGGTTTTCTAAGCGATATCAGCTCATGATGAAATCCTCTAACCAAACCAATATGACAGATCAGTTAGTACTTCTATATGGGTTTAAAGACTTGGCGTACGTGTCACCCAATGCATTTCCAGTAGCCTTCTCTCTATTACTGAAGATCAGATGGCTAGAAAGCATTACCAAACGGCGAACTCTACCACCAATAAACCAACTAACAACGTATCGCCCAATAAATATGCGCAGAAAAAAATGGATTGGAGATACGCTCAGGATACTGTCAAGTGAAATCACACTCCAAATGGTGACTAGGCATGCATAACACATATACCCTAACATAGTCATCTCAATCACTGCAGCTTCACAAACCCATAGACTAAATTCCCCTCCTTACTTACACATCTCTGACCACATTGTACCTGATAACACCAATGGTCTTTATGTCTCTCACAATCTCCAACGGTCATGTGTCGAAGGGGTAAAACACAAAAGAGATGTAGAGATGCTATGCTGCACGGTGCATGCGTCGTCTTTTGATGGATAGCTGGACATCACATCTGCATGAAGTATAATGCAGATTGGGACTAACTAATGTGTCGTCTTAATCTTCGAAACCCGCCGATATTCGAAAAAGTAGTCATCGAATCTTATATGCGAACGGCGTAGTTGCAAGTGACCTGTTTCACCACAGCAGTTTCCTTCCTTCGGAAATGGGCATCCGACTAATTATATCAGTAATATATGCCAGTGTATTAGTACTTGCTTTCATGCTTGGGCATTTATGGAATCCGGCAGAAAATACACCATGATCTAAATAATTTTGGAATTTGCAAATTGTGAACTCAGTTCCATGTATTACCAGTTGGCTCAAGTAGCAAGTGTCAACAAACTCGACGACTTGCAAGCGAAAACCTACAAACTGGCTGAAGAGGCTGGCTGGCAGCAAAGACAGGACTGCAGGTGAACATAGAGAAGACAGAGGTGATGAAGATAACTAGCCAACGAACCGCCACAGCAACAACAACAACCACCACCAATCACCATCGACGGGAGAGATTTAACAGAGGTTACTTCCTTCACTTATCTAGACAGCCAGCATCGTTCCAATCACAGGCGGAGCGGATAAAGATGTCAAAGCCAGTCAGAATCGGAAAGGCAAGATACACTTTCATCAACCTGAAACCAGTTAGGAAATCTTCCGCAGTCAGCATGAGGAACAAGATTTGCATTTGCAACACCAGTGTGAAGTCGGTCACTGCTTCTATACGGGTCAGAAACTTGCACTGTGTGTGGGTCACCAAAAGGATTTCCAACAGCTATCCTCTTCTCTGGCTCCATATTGAAGATCAAATGACCAGAAAGAATCAGTAACAAGAAACTATGGGAACCAACCAACAGGTGAGAGCCGATCGCTAAACAAATATGTAGGAGAAAGTGGAGATGGATCGGGCACACATTAAGGAGGCCGTCGAATGACATCCACGCCAGGCCAACGCTCGAGTGGGTCGCACTAGGCTGACATGGAAGAGATCGTGTGAGGAAGAGATGAGAGAGTTTAGTCGATCGTAAACCTAGCTGAAGAGGATGGCAGAAAACAGAACAAAGTGGAGATGTGCTCAGGTTGAAGCCTTATGTTCTACTCTAAATGCAAGGGAATAATAATATAATAAATAATAAAAAGTAACTGGCCAGAATTTTGGCGGTTTTCAACTGATTTAAATTATCTGAGGTGAGTCAAACCCCGGGAACAGCACTGATGATGACCTCAGCCACACACACACACACACACTTAGATCTGGCTGACAAGAGTTACATACACTACAGGGATTCGATTCGTTTCAATTTTGATCACAGGCTAATGTGTTAGCTAAAGAACCCGCAACAGGGAGTACTGAACAGCTAGATGTTTCTTCAGCCTAGTCCCGGACCAGTTGGAACCCAGAACCTACCGGTTAGAAAGCAAGCTCATGTAGACCATTCACGGTCACTGGGACCCGACCTAGTGGATAGCTCAGGAATTCCACTCATTCTGGAAGAAAGTTTCAGTAGTGTTGGAATTATGTTTCCCTTTTTACAGGGTGTCATCACTAGCCCGTCACTCCCGACTTTCGCAGGTTCAGTGCTAAGCTAGGAAAGCAAGTCACCGAGGCTGAGGAGTGCATCGACCGACCGGTAATCAAATCCAAGATCATGTGAATCTGAATCACCACTAATGTTTGCGCCGTAGCTAAAGTTATAGCATAATACTGAATGATGAATAACTAGAGTAGATGAAGATAATCAAACTCTAACATATATATATACTACTGAAATCCATCGGGTTCAGTTCACCACACAAAATACTCTTTTATTCCCCCCTTCAGACAGAGCTTTTTATTTCGTCTCTTTTTTCTTTCAAAGACGAAATAGGAGTTCACAACAAAAAAGTGTAAAGATTGTTATTTGAGTATTGTTCACACATACTCATGTCTATATATATACTACTCTTGATTATTTTTCTTGTTGTTGTTGATGATGTATGTATGCATTACCAGAACACATACACACGCACACAAGCACGCAGATACACAAAGAGATATACAGAAAAATACATGCGAAGCAGATTTGCATTGGGGGTGGGGTGGGCTTTGTGACGTAGAGAGACGGATAAAGAAGTTTGAAAGGAAAACACACACAAAATGAACTCTAAGAAATGAGAACTCAAGATGAAATTGAAAATTAGCACCAAAAGAAAACAGAGGAAAGAGTAAATTTTTTTTAGAAAAAAGGCGAAATGATGAAAAATATGCATCGCTGTACTAAAAAGGGAACTAGAATGACTAATTAATTATGCATTGTAGCATACAAGAATGAAGGAAGAGCAAAAAATAATAGGCGCTATGTGAATGTGGGAAAAAGAGAAATATACACAAACTCTAATCCATTCCAAACAAATTATAATAATAATAATAATAATATTTTTAAAATTAGCAGCAGTAGCGTGTGAAACAAGACAAAAGCGAAAAGAAATGGTGATTAGGTTGGCCCTAAAGACATTCCACGTTCGGATGGACAGGAAAAAGAAAGCGAATTTCTTACTCAAACAAACGAAAGTAAAACATCCCCCTTCATGTCAAAGAGTAGGGGGGTACACGTGTACACACACACACACACAACATGCACTATTGCTTTCATAACACATACATACAAACACCACCGCCACCAACCCAGCGCCCACTCTCACCCGACTTTCTATTAAGGAGTGAGGGTTTGATAGGGTGGTGGGGCCAAGGCGGGGGATTGTAGTAGTAGTAGTAGTAGTCATGCGATAAATACACTCAGGCAAGCGCAAGCAAGCATACAAAATAGATTAATATTTTTCTGTTGAAGGAAGGAAGAAAGAAAGAAAGAAAATGAAACGAAATCATCAATATTTGATGATTTGATTGATTGATTGATTAGTTTTCTTCTCTTTTTTTTTGTTGTCGTCGTCATTGACGATGGTTGTGATAGTTGTCGTCATCGTCATTATCATCGTTGAATTAAAAGCTAAATATTTTCTACTTCTGTGAATAGTGTTTCCATTTCCCGACGAAGATTTGTATGATTCAATCGTTCAGCCTCCAATGCTTCTGTAAAGGGATTGTTTAAAAAGGAAAAGAATTCAAGATTCATTAGATAACGTGTCATCACACTATCAATATTTCACTAATTAACTAACGTAAATATACACGAAAACAAACAACTTGGACTGGATGATAGGAAAGCAAGTAGATTGAAGGTAGATGATGGTAGTGCATAGGCAGTAATGATATCCCAGTGGCTCATACCGTGAAACACAAAAAGAGGACTAGGAAACCAACTGCTTGAATCGATTGAAAACAACCAGCCTGCTCAAAATAGATTTTGAAATCGTATCTGTAAGAAGACCTTATCGTTGCAAGACAAGTCGGAATGTATAATTTCCGACATCAACCGAGTGGGGAAGCGGTAAAACTCGCTTACTGATTGTCTGACATAAAAAATACCCTACCGCTGTTACACATCCCTATTTTCTAACAGTACAACTTCGCCCTCAAATCCCTGAACATAGCAGAAATGAGGGTTTAATAGATACAGGAGGTCACAAAGAGAGTGCATACATTTGCACCATTGAGAACAGTCTCAAGTCATTAGTTCTTAGCGTCTCAAAGACCCTAGGCTAGACGACAACCAGTCATCACATCTCCCTACATGGCTCAAAGAACCTGGGTCAAGGAGATCATAGATTGATTCCAGATTTTTACTTGACCATCCTCCTTAACTCATTCTCGACATAATCTTATGTCGGCGCTAACATTCTTTAACGAGTAGCGCAGTGATTAGGCATGCATAGCACACATATATTAGCGATCTCAATCAATACAGCTTCACAATCTCATTGATTGATTTCCCTTCCTCACCTAGCCCTCTCTACGCCTACGTCTAATCTTAATATTTCCCTTCATCATATTAAACCACACCATACTATGACTGAATGTACTATGTTTGTCTAACAAATATACACCAAGAAGTAATGCCACAATGACAAAGATTACTTCATGAAGATTTAAAGCCTATAACTTCATTGTGTAGGTGCCTGCTTTAAACGACCACTATTCATACACATAGAGTATGGAAAAAAACAGGACTTTAGCACAGTTCATTTATACCACACTAATTGCTAAACAAGATATTTTTCAAATGAACTGTCGTCAAGATTTGACAGAATAGTTCTAAACCTCTGTTATGTTAATTTTGATCAATTTCCCTGAAGAAGTTCGGACCAGATTTCCGAACGAAACGTTGGAATTACTCATTTCAATATCGCTGAGATTTTACAAATATAATTTTTCTTCCGGATATTTTTGTTGGTGTTAAAATGCTGTCGTTAGGGAAATCATAATGACTGATTGTATTTCCCTTCACAAAAATCAACAACAAAAATAGACTACAACACACACACACACGCACAAAGTCAACAATCAAACTAGCTATCTCCTCTTTGAAGTAGCGACTGATGAAGACTAGTCTTAAATTCCCACGGCCCACCTCCTACTCTAGTATATATACATAACATTGAAATGTTTGCATGTGTAAAACTTGGGCACTGTGGTCTGTCTGTCTGTCTGGATTCAACATAGAACTTGGCACCGAAGTGCAGCAGTTCGAGTTGCCACGTTACAAATAGCACACAAAGGTAGACGGGAAAAGGAGAGAAGAGAATCAATAGAATTTATATAAGTATAAGATTGAAACAGAATGAGTAATGGTAGAAAGGAATATGAAGGTTAAAGAGACTGAATACATCTGCGTAAGCCATTGACAACGATTTTGAGCCATGTCACCTATTGTCTCCAGCCATTGATTCTTAGAGTCCCGAGGGCCCCAACCCGGAAGTCTGCATCTCCCCTACCTGGCACTGTGGTAGTAAGTAATTCCATATTAGTTTGTTTATTAGATGTATCACACACACACACACACACTGGATGACGTTTCGAACACAATTTATTCCTCTTCATAATCATATCGCCAATTATAATCACACAACTTCGAAACTTGAGTTATATAGTTTTCTTTATTCTTTCCTATTCGCCGTCGTAGGGGTGGTAGAATTTTCCAGATGTCCAGATGGACAGGTGTTGAATCATTCCTATTACACGTATTCTCAACCAGTTGATTCGATAAGTAAAGCTTCCGTTATCAATCTTTCCCTTCACCCTGCCGTTACATTAGATTTTAAAACTGTCATTTTATCTCACCCCATTCTATTGTATGGTTGTGTGTAATTTCTATGTAGTGAGTGCTATAGCTGAACTATTCCCCAGATTTCTTATCTTATTAGGCCCAACAAAGCTTATTTCTAATTGAGTTTGCGGGTTTGAATGCCACTTTTATTCCTGCATTGTCAGAAATAAGCTTTGTCGGTTATAGCATCCTGTGGAGCCTTCAAAACAAAACAATTTAGTTTATCTAATACCCTGCCTGCAATGATTCTCCGGGTCAAATATATAGGTCAAACTAGTAGAACAGGGGCAGTCAGACTAGCTGAGCATAAAAACTTAGCAAAATCTAGACTAGTTGACCCTAATAAGATAAGAAATCTAGAGAATAGTTCAGCTATAGCACTCACCACATGCAATTACACACAACCATACAATAGGATGGGATGGGATAAGATGACAGTTTTAAAATCTAATGTCACACGAATCAACTGCAAACACGTGTAAATAGGAATGATTCAACTGACCTGTTCACCCAACCATATGGAAAATTCTACTACCCCTACCTTGACTAATACGAGAGGACAAAAAAAGTTATAAAAGTCAAGTTTCGAAGTTGTATGGTTATAACTGATGAACAGTAATAAATTGTGTTCGACACCTTGTCATCCAGTAAATAGTAATACTGTCTCGGTGTCTGTGTAATATATCCATCTAATAAACAAATTAATATGTGGAATGAAATGCTTGGCGAATACAACACCCCCAGAAGATCCTTTAGCACTTCAATCAAATTCACAGTTTGCTATTTATGCGCGAAATTCCTCACGAGAGAGTTCCGTTTTGGAAAGTGAAATGATTCTGATCACCACCAACCAACCACATTTTATGTGAGATCTGCTCGATACCACAAATGATAATGAAAGAAGCAAGCGCTCACACACACATGGTGGTATATACTACTGATTTGTAGATATAAGTAGTATGTAGCGTCATGTCATGCAGTTATATGCCTGGCTTACTTAATTACCATTTATGATAATAAAGCAGATATCGCATAATGTGATTGGTGGTGATCTGAATAATTTCGGTTTCTAAAGGAATCCCCCCTTTGATGGAATTTCACCTCGTTCAGTTGTATGCAAACTGCAGATCGTGAAATAATTTACAAACTGATTCGGCTCTCTCTAAAGCGGAGTCCAAACAAGGCAACACACACACACCAATAATGAGGAGTTCGGCTCCACACATGAGCGCAAAACAGCCGTCAGGTGTTTAGATCAATTCAGTCTGTCCGACTGTCAAACACTACTGCTACTACTGGTTGGTGTGTGAGTAGTGATCAGCTGCTCATGTCTACCAGTCAGCAGTAGTAGTAATACAGCGTCATCATCTACACAGCGCTTCATCAATACTTTTGTCTAACAAGACAAAGTGATCGATAAATAAGCCTGCACAATAGAGAAAGAGAGCAAAGCGCCAAGAGATAATATGATGAGGTGGCACGATCATGATTACGGAACGAATAAATCCGGATCAGATGGACACAATGTGAGGCAATGACTTCAAGTCTGATCTACAAAGTAGTGGGGCAGTGTCACGAGCTACATTCTTGTGCTTTCCAGCGTCTACCCTTCGAATTCTGGAGCTCATATACACTACCATAAATTTAGAATCAAATTTTTCCACCTTCCCTCCTCTAGGTAGGTAGATACCGCCATGTGCATCAGTCCGGTTGCAACCACCAGGATGTGTTCACATTCACCCTTTCACTCTTGTGAGGAAACAACCCTACCCACCCACCCCCTCACGGCCGTGTGAAGGCAGTGAAAAGGACTGTCCTGGTTAAGGCAGAGGCTATGAATGCATGGCCACACTAAGGGAGTTTTTCGAGTGGAAGACTGGAGTCTACCTACCCTCAGCTGTACCACTTCGTTTAGGAGGGAAGATAGAACAAAACGATTCTCTCTATAGAAGACTTATTTTTGTCAATACCTCTCGATAATAATAATGATAATAATAATAATGGGACAAAAATAACGGTATTATGACATGAACTTACCTTCCAATTTACATAATTCCATTTGTTTACTCTCCTCTTGACGATTAGCTTCTTTAACACGTCGTTCAGCCTAAATTATCATTCCCACCCGCACCACACGGAGATTTCGACAGGTAGATAGACAGATATATGCATAATGAAAGAAAAATAGATAAAAAAAACAGGCATTCTCATGCATTAATACTACTACCTAATATATCACAAGCCGTAATCAAATATGGAGAATGATGATACTAGTAGTCAGTAGTAACTGAGAAGTAGCACGCATGCCGCAAGTACAAAGTACACTCTTATTTCCTCAGTCTCTCTCTTTACTTTACCTTCAAGACGATCCGCATCAGCTTGTAGAGTGTTGACAAGTCGTTCGGATTCTTGGGCACGATCTTCAGCCTAATAACAATAATAATAGCAACAGCATAGAATGAACAATATTCCCTCCTTGTCTGTGTTGCAGTTGATCACAAACAGCAATTATTCACAGGCAGGTTGACGACAGTGGAATGCTTTGCATGCTTCAAGACAGAGAAGATGCTTAACTAACTAATTTTCATGCACAAAAAAACAAACACAATCCACATATCATCCATCCCATTGAACATTCACCAAATGGGGTACTTGGATAACTGATTGTTCCAGCAACATAACTAACAGACTGGATTGAAACTTCCAAGAGTTAGGTGTTCGCACGGATTCGATTTGTTTTAAGTTTGCCTATAAACGACTGACAGATATATCATCACAGATAGAGAAAACTGCTGAAAACCAACAACAGTAATGTCCGGGCCCTTTTTAGAAAAATGATATACTTAAAAGAAAGGAATGAAAACAGCTCAAGTCTATCGATTTTCAATACTACTTTGAAGAATACATTCAGCAAACTATCTGGTGCAAACCGGCCAAAAAGCCAGCCAGCGTGGAAGAATCCTTCTCTACCATCATCTACCGAGTGCCTAATAAATTGCCAAAATCATCATCGAAGCACCGCATTCTCCAAACAGCAGAGGCTATTGTAATTCGCCTTAAACAACCAGTGCTGTGTGTTCAAAAGAAGCAAGTCCAGCCAGCCAATACTACTGCCCTGGCCGGCCTTCAGTAGAGACTATAAATTCATGAATTTGTAATATTATCTTTCCTAATTTTTCTGACACTCAGCTTATTTTATGTTGATGCTATTCAGCTGTAATCTGTTGATATTATTGATTCGATGTTGTTTAAACAACATTAATGGTGTTCATAACACTAATTCATTCATTCACTATTATGTATGCATGTATAACTGTAGAGCCTGATGATGATGAAGTTATCGAAAAGAGTACGCTTTGTTCAGTATCCATTCTTTTAAAAGATTTTGTTTTTGCCACTGATAAGCAAAATTAACATGATGACAACTAAACCCCATCCAGATCACAAGAGCTCATCAAGTGTGCGTCGGTGGCACAGTGGTTAGGACTCTCGCCGACCATGCACATGGTCCGGGGTTCGATCCCCTGCCGAAGCACACCCGATATCTATGGTCGGCCTATAAATTTGGGCTACCGATATCCATCCTGAAAATTCCATACTTGTACTGAAAATACGGTGTGGAATCAAGCTGTAATCTAAATAAATTTTAAAGAATATAGCATTATTTTGGGAATCGTAGCTCCCTCCCAACCACCTATTGTGTGCTTGTGCATTAGTGCATGGCCTTGTGATTCATCTTCGGGCAGAACAATCATTCTACGCCTAGCTAAATGCTTCTCTTCTGATAATCTGACTACTCCGTGATCTACTGGTTCAACGCATATAATTCTGCTTTCAATCATTGCGAGGTATTTTGTATAATTCTGTGGGTCAGTAGAAAACTCATTTATAAATTCTGATTTCAATTAATGGATTTTGTCACCGACTACAACATCAGTTGGAGAGATTATGGAAAGCCAGCTGTTTCATCCTAGCCGATTGAGACCACTTCATCAGTGTGGATCCCCGCTCTAGGAATTGAGTGAGACTAATCTCCTTGACTTCGTCAACTCATGATGATATGACACTGCCCTTACCCATATGGTCTTCGATAAGCGCATCCACTTCATCTTCCGACATAGTGGAGCCCACCAACCCTCCTCCAACGTATGCCTAGTCATCGCCTTCCTCGACAATGGGCAATGTTAGCTGACATAAGGTCAGGCTGGAAAAGAGATAGTGGTGGTCAAACCAAAACATGGCACCAGTCAATGAAATCTACAACAGTTAGTCTAAGCCACGTAGGAAGGTGTAGACTGGCTTCCTCGTTGGGGTCCTCGGGACGGTAAAAACCAATGATTGAAAACAATTGGTGACATGGCTCAAAATCGTTATCAATGGCTGGGTGCAGATGCATCCACTCTTTGTGAATTATGATTTCCAATTAAACTGTTTTGTTCTTCGTTATTACTATTCCTTTGTCTCACACCTCTGTTTACTGTCTATGTTATTATGCATTTCTCCTACTTTCTTCTCTTCCTTTGTGTGCTACATGGAGTGTGGCGACTTGAACTGCCGCACATATGCGCAAAGTTCTATGTCAAAAACAGACAGACAGACCTCCGACTGGTCACAACTTTTCTAATAATTGAAAAATCCAATTAATCTAAAACTCCCCGAAATCTAAATTGTAAATTTAGGCTTAGCGAATAGAATTATTGGTAAATTTTAAAAAATTGTGTTTGGTGTTCCAACAAGACACTTTACCTCATTCAGTTGTTCTGCTAAGTGAGCCAGTTGAGATTGATGTTGACTGCGTTGTTTACATATCTACAGTTGTCGTCGTACAGGCACAAAATAAGGCGAGCAGGCGGCAGGCAACCATTTTCGTATACACATGCAGATAACAAAAATATCCACAACCGCCAAAATTCCCAAGAATATGAAAAGCATGCCAAAAGAAAAAAAAAGGAAAAATGTAAACAAAAAAAACTATTGTGTGAAACAAACTGTGATAAAAGTTTTCGAAAGAAAGAAAGAAGGTACAGGCGAATTGACTATTCGATCCCGTGTGTGACATTCTCCTGCATGCTACATAAACGCAACCTGAGACGCATACACACACATCATCACCACTATCACCAAGCAAGCTTACAGCTTTTAGACGCTCGGTTAAATCACGGATATTCTCCTCATAGGCTTCTTCACGTTGGGCGGCCTAGAATAGAATTTACATTAGCAAAAATAAACACACGAACGAAGTGAAATGACAGAAAACTACTACCCAGCATTTGTCGGTGTTCACTAATTCGCCTGTTTGAAGAGTTATGTATTTGAGACTAAGACATGAGGTGGATACACATTTTTATTGTATAAGAAGATTATTAGTGAATACTAAATGACGAGGCAGGGAGTGAGGTGGCAGAGCCCACTGACTACTTCCCTTATTTTAGGATGGTGCGTCAACCCTAACTGACTGACTGACTGACTGATTGCGGACGAAATCTCAACACGGGTACAAACAAAAAGCTCATGTGGTATTTGCTAACTTATATCGTCTCTGGTGTACACACGATATCGGGTGATCGATTCAAGGACATGTGTACTGCACTGCAGTCCCCTTCATCCTCCTTTGTGGCAGTGAGACGTGGCCATTGAAATTAGAAGATATGAAAACGCTAACCGTCTCCCATGTGAAGTGGTGCAACATGGTGAGTAATATCGAGGTTAGGCATCGATTGTTAGGTAAAGAGGATAAGTTAATCGAAAAGGTTGTCAAAAACTACACTAATTCATCCAGCTGGCTAGATGCCTGTGCTGTACATGCCAAGCTACAGCCTTCCTCGACGAGTAATGTTACCTGATATAGAATGAGGTTGGGAAAGAGTTTGTAGTGGTCAAACTAGGACCTGTCATCTGTCCATGAAGTCTTCGACAGTTTGGTTGGTTTAAGTCAGCCACGTAAGGAAAAGGAAGAGAAGAAGGGGGAGTATACCGCTTGGTTGGGGATGCAAGGATATCAATGACTGGAGAGACTGTTGGTGAGATGGGTGAAAATCATTGTCGTCAGTGGAGCAGAAGATACATTCACTCTTTTGGAATCTCCTAGATCCATGTTGCTTTTTTTTCCATCTTACTACTCTTTCTTTCTTTCATACATTTCTCCTTCTCATAGTTCCTTTGAAGCTCGCCTAGGTAACTGGCATGCTAGTTTTCTAGCTGGTCCCAAGCACAGGTAAACAGGGAGGGTTGGGCGTAGGGCTAGCGACCCTAAACCAAAAAAGCTAACAAACTGCTAGAGAAAATTCAACGCGAAGACAAGACTCAAGGTGAACATAGAGAAGACAGAGGTGATGAAGATAACCAGCAAGCAGCAGCAACAACAACAACACCAATCAGGGCTAACCACCATCAACGGGAGAGATTTAACAAAGGTTACTTCCTTCACTTATCTACGAAGCATCGTTTCAACTACAGGCGGAACGGATGAAGATATCAACCTGAAAGCAGTTTGGAAATCTTCTGCACGCAGCATAAAGAACAAGATTCGGATTTTCAACTCCAATGTCAAATCGGTCCTTATTCATGGGTCAGAAACTTGGCCAGCGAGTCACGAAAAGGATTTCCAAAACAGCTTGCAGACATTTATCAACAGCTGACATCTTGGCTGGCTCCATACTGAAGATTAAATGGCCAGAAAGAATCAGCAACCAGAAATTATGGGAACAAACCAACAGGCAAGAGCAGATTGCTCAACAAATATGTAGGAAAAAATGGAGGTGGATTGATCGGGAGACTGTCGAATAACATCGCGCGCGATGTAGACCATCGCTTGAGTGGAATCCCAGTGGGAAGCGACAAGTGGGTCGTCAGTGCGAGTGACACGGAGGAGATCGTTTGAGGAGGAGGAGGAGATGAGAGATTATGGGCAATCGTGGACTCAGATGAAGAGGACAGCAGAAAATAAAACAAAGTGGAGATGTATTGCTGAAGCCCTATATTCCACTCGGAATGCAGGAAACAACACAGACACAGGGATTCTAAGAACCAATGACTGTCACTTACCACACACATACATATTGAGATAGATCAAGATTTATCAATAATCAATAAACAACAAGTTACATAGCCAAAAACATGTCAGCTAATACACGTGGATACCAGAATAAGAAAACCCAACTGAAGGCACAAAGGAATCACTGCCAAGGGTCACCAGGACAGACAGTTCTATCCCTCATGGAATATTCCAAAATTACTCACCTTACCTTGAAGTAATCATTGAAGAAGATGTTCTCTGAATGGACAATGGAAGCTTCACAATTAAACAGTACCCAGCTCAGTGTAAACACAAAACAACAAAACCACTAATGAGGTTGTTAGCGCTAAATCGATTGACATGGCTACGACGCGCGTGTTACGCATGCCTACTGAGCCACCGCCTTCTTCGACCAGCAATGTCAGCTGACATAGGATTACGTTGGAAGAGACTCCGAGTTAGTCAAATCCAAACGTGGTATCTCTATCTATGGCGTCTTCAGCTGTTGTTTTGAGCCGCCCTGTTCGGAGTTCACATGGTGCTACGGACGAATGACTAAAGACTATCGATATATACGGCTCAATATCATTCCCAGTGATGCAGATATGAATTCACGCTCACTGTTATCTCCTGTATTCATAAAATCCTCATGTTTTCCCAAGTTAATTAATTCCTCCTCCCGGACATGTCTACGCTTTAAAGTTCCTCTGAATCTTCTTTTATTTCTCCTTTTTCTACCTTACTGTGCTACATGAAGTATGGGAACTTCAACTTATGTGCAAAGTTCTGTGCTGAAACTAAGTCAGTTGAACTTAGAGTGGAGAAAATGGGGAAGGAATGTTACTACTCAACAACTACTCAAACAATTTCTGTACAGCTGAAAATCAGCCATAATACTGTGTGTATGAGAAGAGATAAACGTATACTACCTGATTACTACCAAAACCTCGATAAGTGGGGTGGGGGTTGTCGAACCTGTGATCCTATTAGTTAGAAGTTCATTCAACAACTAAACTAATGACTCCACACAGCTTCATACAGAAGTTAAAGTAGTTGGCGAACGTTTCGAAGAAACTCAAAAGACCCTAGTTAAAAAATGGCAATGCGATGGTGACAGATATTAAAGTTGAACCCATTTGACTAACAGGAAGTAGAGAGTGCAATAAGCCAATAAGCCACAACATCTCTACATCATATAACTAACTATTGCATGAGAAATGCTGAAGTTAACCGCGGGAGTGCTAGATAAGGTAGTCAATAATCAATGATGCTGTGACCAACTTGGGAGCGAACCAACTAGGAACCGATTGTGAAAGAAATATGCAGGAGGAAATGGAGATGGATTGGCCATACTCTGAGGAAACCATCAAGTGACATCACTAGACAAGCCATTGCTCAAGTGGAACCCGGCCGAACAGGAAGCGGCGAGTTGGTCGTCAGTGCAAGGGTGACTTGGAGGAGGTCATGTGAAGAGGAGATGAAAACGTGTGGGCAGACATGGAGCCAGGTGAAGACTCTAGCAGAGAACCGAACTCAATGGAGACGCACGGCTGAAGCCCTATGTTCCTCTAGGAATTAAAGGATACAATAATAAAAATAATGACCAACTTAGAAATACAACAGAAAAAGTGTATATGTAGGGATACAAGACCAATGTATAGTAGGATTGTATGAGTGGACCTCAGTTTCAATAGGAAACCATTAAAATCATGAGGAATATATGTCGGTGTTAAAATCTCTAAAACATAGCATCGGTGGGTTAATGGAAGAGTACTCCTAACCGACGCACTTCTAAACCTTGCCTAGTTCCTTAGTCAGTAGTAAACCGGGAAGAAGAGGGAAGATTGGGCTTGAGAGTATCGACCCCATCCACCACCTCATAATAACAACACTCACACTACTGGAAACGTCTACAGTTTCAAGCTTCATGTTCCACTCGGAAGGTGAGAAATGAAGACGACTGTAGACGTAATCAAAGGTAAGATAATTCACTTCTACGAGGCAAAACTTCAGCTGATGAACTAGTTTAGGAGAAGAAGAAGGACCTCACTAATATCTATCATCTATACTTCACAAACCGACAACTAAGTTATGCATCCTGAATGATCCATCTCACTCGAGAACAAAACCACCTGGCGCCTGCCACACCACTCAGTTGACAATATATACCTCATCAAACTAGGTAAACTGAGATCGCCAGCTACCTGAAAAATACCTTCATGCCTTTTAGTTTAGCAAGGAGAGAACTTCAAGAGAACATTGCAAAGACGCAGGTGATGAAGATAACCAACCACCTAACAGCAACCACAACCACCCTCGATCACTGCATCAACGGAGTAAATTTTGAAAAAGGACATTTCCTTCACTTATCTATACCAGCATCCGTACAACTATAGGCAATGGGAATACATGAGAATGTCAAAACTAAAAACGAAAAGGTAAGACAGACGACGACCGACTTTGAAAAAGCCTTCAGCAGACAGCATCGATCGAGAGGTGATTTAGCAAACTACTTCGCTACTACGGGGTGCCATCGACAATTATACATCTCATCCAACAGCTGTACAACAATGCTGCATGCCAAGTAATCCACAACGGGAAACTTACAGAATCCTTCGAAGTATAGAAGGGAGTAAGACAAGGCTGCCTACTATCGCCAATGATTTTCCTGATTGCGGTAGATTGGATAATGCAAAAGACAACGGGCAGCGAGGAAACAGGCATAAAATGGACTCTCACGAAAAACTTGGAGGATCTGAACTTTGCCGATGATATATGTCTGATTTCCCACAAACTGGAAGATATGCAAATGAAAAGCAACAAGTTGGCAGAAGAAGCATCAAAGATAGGACTTCAGGTGAACATAGAGAAAACAGAGGTAATGAAGATTCCTGGGCAACACCACCAACAGCAACAACAACAGACAACAATCAGCATAGATGGGAGAAACGTGAAAGAAACAACCTCCTTTACCTACCTACCTACCTATCTGGGAAGCATTGTTTCAACTACAGGCGGACGGAACTGACGAGGATATTAAAGCAAGGATTGGAAAAGCAAGACAAGCTTTTACTACTCTCAAGTCTGTGTGGAGGTTAACAGCACTCAGCATCAAAAATAACATCCGGATTTTCAAATCCAATGTGAAGTCAGTGCTACTTACCATACAGAACACAGACTTGGCGCTTCATAAAGAGCACCTCAAACAAACTACAGACCTTCATCAACAGATGTCTTCGCTCAATACTACTCAAGATGAGATGGCTGGCCAGAAAAGATCAGCAACAGGGATCTCTGGGAGGGAACCAACCCAGAAGGAAGAAATGGAGGTGGATTGGCCATACTCTGAGAAAACAAACCATCAAGTGACATCACTAGACAAGCCGTTGCTCCAGTGGAACCCGAAAGGGAAGCGGCGAGTTGGTCGTCAGTGCAAGGGTGACTTGGAGGAGGTCATGTGAAGAGGAGATGAAAGCATGTGGAGGGCAGACTTGGAGCCAGGTGAAGACTCTAGCAGAGAACCGAACGCAATGGAGACGCACGGCTGAAGCCCTATATTCCTCTAGGAATTAAAGGAAATAATAATAATAATGACAGACGATCATCACTCTGAAAACAGTTTGGAAACCCGATATACCCAGGAGGAAGCAGAATAAAACTCACATTTTCGACACTAATGTTAGGTCAGTCACTGCTTCTCTTGCCGCCCACGTCAAGAAAAGCATTTCCAACAGTCAGCTGCAGACTTTTATGATCAGCTGTCCATTTCACTGGCTCCACACTGGAGATCAAATGATGGTCGGTCAGAAAGAATTAGCAACAAGAAACTCTGGGAAGTAATAAATCAATAACCTATCTATAGATAGATGGATTGGACACATGCGCGCCAGAACATCACTCAAGTGGAACACCGCTGGGATGTGATATCGAGGAATTTGTGTGAGATGGAGATGAGAGCTTATGCGCAATCGTCGAGGAGCCAACTAGCTAAAGATGACTGGCGGGGAACAGGGTGAAATGAATATGTTCTGTGCTGTTGAGGCCCCCCCTCCATGTTGTTCTACTCACAACACAAGGGGATAAATAATCACAATAATATATAATACCATATACATAATCATCATACAACTTTAAAAAAAGTAGTACAGGATATCAGAAGAGTTATACGCGTTAACTTTATTCGACTAAAAAGAGGCAATAACAAAACAAAATTTTAAAAAATATATATATACATAAATACACAAATACCTCTTGTTCAGATATCTCCAAGGATTTTACATTATTACCAACAATGCGTAACTCCTCTTCGAGTTCAGTGATTTTGCTATAAACAGATTAGATCATACATGTGATATAATAATACAGTAATAACAGGTTAGACTTGATCTCATCAGCACTACACACACTCCATTCAAATGAATGAATGGGTGAGTGAGTGGGATATGGGTATGCAGACGGGGGGAGGGGGGAAGAGCAATCCATCGCTTAACTAATCCGTGCAATCAAGCTAAGCATTCAAAATATTCAAACGCATGCACAACTCTTAGTCACCCCTCTCGTAGAATATATGTATATATGTGCGCGCCTAGTCCACACACACAGTGCTGTTCATTGGCGGCGTAACTCCGACAAGAATGTTTACCTATACACATACACGCATATATATATCACAAATATAAAAGATGGCAACATAATAAATATTTATAAGAATTCTTCTTTCAAATTCACAAACCTGTGATTCTTGATGTTCCAATGATTTTAACTGACCCATAGTTCCATGTATAATTGATTGAAGCTCTTTTAATCGACTTTTTGAAGGTGTGTGTGTGTATGTGTGCACGCACATATGCGTATCCATGGGAAGTTTGACAACGCCAAGAATAGTAATATTATTATAACATGCCCGAATTAATTATGCGTAAAGTATGAACATGCATCGACCAAAAAAAAAAGAAAGAATGTAGGGAAGAGTGACATGTAGATATACACATATAATCAATTATTTGAGAGTATATTTATTAGTGAGAATTACGCACAAGCGACTTCCGTCCTCCTCTCGGAATACTCCTCATTCATGTAACCACGCGTTCAGATATACCTTCACACAGCTGAGGTGTTCCTCATAAAAGTATGAAACCGAACGCGAACATATCTAGTGTCTACAAGTGGAACTAATGAACATGTAGGTCGACCTGTATTGGTTATCGTCAACTACGGGAATGTAACTCCTAACGCTGTTCTCCACTGCCACCAGGTGGGTCCGACTTCAAGTCAAAGTCTCAGGTGAGGGTGTAACCCCTTAAAACAACCACCTATGACCCATTGAACTCCATTCTAGCAGATGAATGGTCAACAGGCTTGCCCTGTGAGTACTGCTAGAGTACCAAACTAGAACATATAAACATTTTACAAACGCAATGGTACTCAGCTATCTATCTATTTATTTTGAGGGTGACTAGACTTGACTAGGCAAGACAAGATGCATCGGAAATGAAAACAAAACCATACAAACGAGTAAATAAACATTTAAAGCTCATTTCTGTGCATGCATTACCCCTTATGATATTAAAGATGCTGCTAATTTTGGTTTAAAAACAATTAAATATTCCAGTGACAATACATCCTACAGTGTGTAGCTTGTACTGTCATTATTATTATTATTATTATTATTATCGTTTCCTTTAATTCCTAGAGGAACATAGGGTTTCAGCAGCACGTCTACACTGCGTCCAGTTCTCTGCCAACGTTTTCACCTGGCTCTGCTCACATGCTTTAATCTCCCCCCTCCATATCATCTTCAAACTGACGACCAACTAAATCAGCTCTTCCCATTTGGGTTCCACTTGAGCGACAACCTGGTGGGTGATGGTTTGTTTTCTCAGAGTATGGCCAATCCACCTCCATTTCTTCCTGCATATTTCTTGCACAATTGGTTCCTGCTGAGTCAGTTCGTTCATTGCCAGAGATCCCTGTTGCTGATCTTTTCTGGCCAGCCATCTGATCTTGAGCGAAGTACTGAACGAAGACAGCTGTTGATAAAGGTCTGTAGTTTGTTTAAAGTGCCCTTCGTGACACGGCGCCAAGTCTCTGATCGGTATGTATAGTAGCACTGACTTCACATTGGAGTTGAAAATTCGGATTTTATTTTTTATGCTGAGTAGGGCTGTTGACCTCCACACACAGTTGAGAGTAATAAAAGCTTGTCTTATTTTCCCGATCCTCGCTTTGATGATATCCTCATCAGTTCCGTCCGCCTGCAATTGAAACGATGCTTCCCAGGTAGGTAGGTAGGTAGCTAGCTAGCTAGGTAAAGGAGGTTGCTTTTTTCAGACTCCTCCCATTTACCCTTCAGGATTTATGTTTTCGTCACTGTGTTCCACAGTTACACATTTAGAGTCATCGCCTTCAACCTAATGAATATCTCGTGGTGTGCTGGGCTTCAAAGTCGTGGGCATTCAACAGCCGACACTGTTGAAAGGTTGAGCGAAAGCTGCTTACGATAGCGTGAAGGTAGTTGGAAAGAAGACCTGGGAGTTACTGATGCGAAAACTAGTTAACGTAGCAGCACAAACCCATGAGCATTGTGATAAGCCTTCGAAAGTAATCAAACAGGCTATTGAGTACCAGAAAGTGAATCAACACGAACAACTGATTCAAGATTCTTGTAGAAGACAATATACCACCAACAAATTCTTGTTAGTAGCACACTTTAGTCTGACTAGCCTTCTTTAGCACACCATAATAGTGTGTGTGTGTGTGTGTGCGTGACTTGTAACTGGGTAGATGACTTCTAACATTATTATAATTGCATCTTACTTTCTTTAGAAATGGACGAATGAAATAGCGTAGTTAGAATGCATAAACTATAACGACATGCATTGAAATGTCAATAAATAATCAGAGAGTAAAAAAACTGGCACACACTTTAAACATATGCACACCGACTGACTACCAGTCAGTGTTGACATTTCATCACCCGGAATAATTACACTAATTTTTGTTCAGATAATCACCAATATGAACAGATGGACAGAACCACCCCCAGATGATGATGATCATGATGATTACTGTTCAAGACAGCTGACCAATTGACTTCAGTTAGACAAGTATTGAAAATTAGCAGGCAGGCGTGGAGTAGGGGAAACTGGACACCTATCTCATCCTTGCTTGGGACTGCTTATCAGTGCGTACCCATGACCTTCAGGGGGACAAGGCCAGCCACTAGGTCCACAAACTCCAACTTATGCCAATTCGTGACACATATATCACTCTCACACCCAACTTGACATGGAGCTGAGAAGTAATCATAGAGGAAGAAGGAAGCAGTTGGCCCTGCTATCCAGTAACAATGCCCTGCTAATTTTCAACAACCCTCTCTCCAACTGAAGTCACGGTTCTTGGTCAATTTTTTAAAATAATCAAAAATAGAAATATAACCTGCAAACCAAACCAGTAACTAGTTGAGAATACCGCTCAACAGCCTAAGCAGTGTTTCAAGATCTGTGAGTAATACCAAATATACACCCACTTAAAATGTATGAATGTATGTATCATGAAATATCGTTACACACAAAAACACTACACTACACTAAAACTAAACTGGACTAGACTAGACTACACTGCTAAAACACAATACAGCACGCAGAGTCGCACACATACACACGCACATACTAGTGTATGCACAGTGCAATAGATATGTACAGATGTATATATATGTGTATATATAAATAAATATATATATATATGTACTGTGAAATAATCGATCACCCATTTCACCAGTAAAATCTAATCATCATCTTATAATTTGTCAAGTAAAGCACTACCTTTCTGCAGCTTCAATTCGATCTTCGGCGTGAGACAAGGCGACTTCAGCGACAGCAAGTTTTCGTGTAGCCTGTTGTTGTTGATGATGATGATGAATAACAGAGCCAAGGCGCGTTAGGAAGTCACGACAATAACAACAACAACAATATTGGTTAACCACAACCACCGCGACGTGGACAGCGGTGTGTGTGTACGTATAGCACGCGTAAGTCGATAATCATTTTCACAATGGAAAAACAAAGCACGTAAAAATAAATGTTTTGAGTTTTTAAGCATCAGTGGTAACACATGCCTTAATTCAATTAAAGTTTATGCATACCAAATATAATAACAGTTGACAAAACATACACAAAAAACGAGAGAGACAGCTTGCAAAAATAATAATAGTATGCTCTGTTGTAATTACATCACAGCATGCGTGTTACACAACATCTGCGCATGTATATATACATATATAGCTGGATGTAAAGCAAGTAAGTGAATGTCAGTGAATGCACTGTGTGTACTACCTTTCGGCAGCTTCCAGCCGGGATTCAGCTCGTTCCAATTCCACCTCGGTGATAGCCAACTTACGAGCTGCCTATAAGAAGTTAGCGGTTTAGGTATTTATACATATATATACACACAGACATATAAATAAAATTTAATCTAAACGTTAAACAATTGAAATAGAATATATTCTTTTGACCAGAAAACGACCTGCTAACGACGAGGGTAGGTAGACGACTTCGGTCTTCCCGTCGAAATGTTCTCCCAAGTAAGTGGCTAGGCGTCCATAACCTCTGCCTTCACGTGGCGGCGGCGGCGGGGTGTCCCTTGTGAAAGTGGAAGGGCGAATATGAGCACATCTGGCGCTTACAACCTAACTGGTCGACAGGCTGGTCTACCCCGGAGCAGGGGGAGGTAGAGAACTCTGATAACAAACAAACCTATGATGGTGTACATGGGTCCAGAATCCGAATAGATAGTGGAATGGAAATCCACGGGGTACGTGCAGTTCCACTGCTTTGTGGACTAGAGTCCAAGTCAATAGCTCAAGACAACCACCGACTTCGATCTAGGCGTTCGGATAGTAGTATCCCAACCCTGGTACAAACTATGAGATTTTGTATAGCGCATTTCATGGTGCCCATAATGTTTTAATAAAAAAAAGTAAAACAGGTGTGTTCATCAGATATTTCTAAAGAGAACACAGATTACCAATAACAATATTATGCAATAGTAATAGCTTACTAGAGAAATATTTCCTTCAGAAAGGTAAGCTGAGTATTATGTTTTTACGAGTTGATCATGGATTGATATCAGTTAGAGAACCATTGAAAACCAGCCACAGGGAGTACTGGACAGCCAACTGTTTCATCCTAGTTTGGGAATCATCGGCAGTACGCACCCACCGCCAGAGTTCGAACCCAGGACCTTCCGGTTACAAGCCAAGCTAGCTCGTATTCCATTCAGCCACTGGGACCCGATTCCTCAATGGCCACCGCATCAATTTCTAACTTCTACCAATTCGTGATTTAGCGCGACCCCAACCCTTACAAACCAAACTATAGAAAATGAGTATTATGTCTTCAGCAGACAGCTAGCCTTTAAAAGAACTCACTTCCTTAACTTCGTCTGAAACATCTAGCCGACTGTTTAGCAAGCAGAGATCACATGACAACACATCAGTGTGTGCGTTACAATCACCCCTCTCTTCCTTCTCCCAGAAGGGTCTACTATATCCAGAAGAACTGTACAACACACACACACATAGCCTAGTGTTCAATGCTATACCTACCTACACCAGCAAGTTCCCTGAGAAGTAGTAGTCGACCAACTTACTGATTAATTTCAACAAATATCTTCTTAATATTGTTTCAAAAATATCATGCAAAAATATATGACATGCAGTTAAACGCCAAAGTTTTTTTTTAAAAAAAGAAAGGCATGAACACTTAACGGACTACTAACGCCTTAAATTCATCATATCCAATCGAACAGAATGATAAGGTAATTTTATACCAACAGTTGTGATCATTCCTCTCTCTTTAACAAAATGTTTTGAATCATTCTTTACAATTTATGACTATAAATACTATTTATGATTAATGATAACCTCTCTATATATATCTTCACCCAAATCCATCTAGGTTAAATGTAGTTAAATGCAGCATGCAAGCGTGTATACACACAAAACACCCACGTTTATGTATATATACATATATGATAACTTTTTATAAGGCATGCGTGTATACGAGACTTATTGACTAATGCACCTCATCGTATTTTCGATCAGCATCTTCAGCCATAAAAGTGGATTCTTTTAATTGTTCTTCTAACTGATTGATACGCTCTTCATCGGCGATAGTACGATTCTCCAATACTTTACGACCACTATTGAAACACACACACATACATATATAGATAGAGACAGAGACTTAATCTTAGAGAAAATAAATAAATGAAAATATATTAAATGTGAATACATTATTTTTAAAACAAAACAAAAAAAATGCCACATATACAGAAAGTGAAATGTGAATGGAAATACCTCCTCATATTTCGCCTCTGCATCACTGACAGATTTTGCTGTCTCGCGTACCATAGACTCCAAGTGTAAAATTCGCTCGTCTTCTGCTGTCTGACGCGCTTCAAGTACTCGACGAGCGCTAAGTTATACATGAGGGGGGGGGGTATAGTATTAATTGTAAACAACAACAACAAAGCAATAGTACGAAAATGTCTTTTTTTAAATCAGATTGAATGACTCTACAAGAACAACAGTGGAGATGTGGTTCATTAAGGCTTAAAGCACTCAATCGGCTTTTATTTGCTCTGAGATAGGCGTCTTTTCTGTACTTCCAATGTAAGCACTTCGACAGCTACATGTAAATTCACATAAACACTTGAGGCTAACAAATGGAAGGTATGATGTCTTTTTCTGACCAAGAGGAAGCCAATCCTTTGAGCAGTGCAATCACGTGACATTTGACTGACATAGGACATTAGGGTGAAAATCTCGAGTTCCTTCAAGGCGATAAGCAAAGAGCCGGACTAAGGTCACTTGAGCTTCGCGGACGACAACTTTAGCAAACGGTTACAAACCTGATTTGTGTGTTTAAAAAGAAGCTATACTACGCCTTACTGTACCTTGGTAACTTGGAAATTAAGTGGTCAAATAGTAGTCAAATGTGCACAAACGAGAGTTTGTCTAAGCGCCAGACCTCCAACTAGTAGGTCGTGAGTCCAAACTCTGCTCCACCTATTGAGGTTTGGGCAGCCGGGTAGTACCACTGGTCCTTCCACTATAGATGTAGCTAAATGCTAACTGCAAAGAATTGCAAGTAATTGTTAAGTAACATTATAACTTCAATTAAACAGGCAAATTGTTACAAACTTCCAGAATTATAGCTGTCACAACGTAATGACGTTTAGAGAGAGAAATGACTCCCAGATTATTGTATAACTGAACAAGGCTTTTCGAATGCTATGGGCACTCCGAAGAGCTTTCGAACGATTAGATGAGTCTATGTTTAAAGTACTCCACGCAACATATGATAGGCCTCATCTAGAATACTCCATACAAGCGGCTAGCCCATGCTTCAAGAAGGAGGGACATATTTTAGAAAGAGTACAAAGGGTAGGAACCAAATTAGTTAATGGTATTTCACACCCTTATGACAAAAGGATGCAGCATTTAAATCTCTTCCCGTTATCATACCGAAGGAAGAGAGGCGACTTGGTTTTAGCATACCGTATACTTAAGGGGGATTTAGGAACCAACCTTTCTGAACCTTTTCTCCCCTTCTAGGATACATTTACGCGGTCACCGCAAAAAGGTGCTCAAACCGAGGATGATTAAAATACGTGCGGAATTTAGATTCTCTCACAGAGTGGTCAACGACTGGAACTCCTTATCTGATTCACTAGTATCAGCTCCATCGGTGAACGCTTTCAAAGAGAAATTAGATCTCCGCAGACATATTTTGTAAGGATTAACACAAACCACAACAGCCTACTATCCTTATCGTCTGAATCTGAAACAATAATTATATGTGGGTCCTGCTACAGAATACTACTGGTTATGCGTAAAAAAAGTACGATCATTCCATGGTTCATACAATATGAATTTACGTTAATAGGCTAATATGACTTTCAAAGACATTCCTTTGACGAACTGACTCACTATTGCGTCAGATGTTATCGAAAGATAAGCAGGAAAAATTCATGGAACTACAATGGATAAGGATATGTGGAAAAGAGATTAGTGCGGATTTTCGAAATCTGGATAATGTCACAGTTAGTGCCGTTGATCCATTATGAACGATTTTAAGCTGTGTTACTCATCCTCGGCGTCTTAACGCCGCCAGATAAAAGTCAAACAGCAGCTTAACCTACTTACGTAAAACTAGTTCTAACCGCATTATTAATGGCTAGATCAACCAAGAGACTGAAAAGATGAATCAACGGTACGAAAATAAAAGCCGCCAAACATTTGCCTTTAACTGCCATATTTTGACAGATGCGAAGTAAGGAAATGCGGAATGCTAAACAGTACACGCTCCCTTAAATGGATAATCAAATTCGCCTGCTCAAAGCTTAGATTCGTCTAGCGTCAAATGTATTTATTTTATTGTTCCCTTGGGTTCCTAGTGGAACATAGGGCTTCAACTGCACGTAGCGTCAAGTGTACTGAAATACTATTTAAAATGTCACTCTGTGGAGGAGGAATCCGTAAGTAATGAAGAAAAATATGCCAATGTCAGTTCTCCTTTAGAAGCTTCACGAAGCATTAAGGATGATGATAATAATAAGGCAAATGAGAACCACTCTGTGTAAGTTCATGTGTATATGCTTACAAGCACTGAGTAATACTAAGAGTGCAGTTACAATTAAAGCCATACAATACATACATGATACAGAAATTTAACTAACCGGTCACTTTCATCAGCAGCTTTGCTAGCCTCTTCGAGCTTTAAGGTTGCTTCTTGGAGCCGTGTTTCTGTCGATTCCAATTCATCCTCAAGTTGCCGGATACGTTTTTGTAATGCTGAGACTTCTGTTTCTGCCTGGAAAGAGATAATGTGAGAGTCAAATCCATTAAAAAACCCTACAATTAAACATATCCCTAAAAAAATATATACCTTAATTTTATTTTCCTCCTCCTTCTTCAAAGTTATCTGTTTACATGATACCTCTTGTTTAAGCTGATCTATTTGAAGCTTCATCCCTTGCATTTTTGACTTAACGGCACATATCACAGGAGTAGACATCCTCACAATGCAGTTTTTAATCAACAACCAAAAAGTGGAAAAGAAACCAAATCACGCGGTCAAAATATTGGTGCAAATAAAGCATCCTCACCTTTCGTAAGGAAACTTTGACAACATTTTGTAGTTCAACACCGATGATGGCCAATTTGATAAGGGTTCCTGAATTGAGGTAAACAGCTGATAATGCCTCATCCATAGCAGTGTCATCATCAACGACCCTCGAATTGCGTCTCCGTTCAATATATTCATCCTCATCACTTTGGCTCCCATAGTCTGAATACAACAGTTCGGTAGACTGTTCAAACAGATCGCTTCGATGTTCTGAGTATCTGCTCAATACATCTTGCTCCTGTCCTTCAGGTTCCAATCTAGGACCTAATAAGTCTAAGGAATCTGACCCATGTTCATTCGATCCATTGTTTTCACCGCAAAACCTCCAATTATAGGGGTTCGAAAGAAAGCCTGATCTTTCTGGATCTCTCTTGGTCGTTTTCTTCCTAAACTTTTTATATTTCTGGTACACAGTTCCATGCGCTTGACTTCGTATTGGTGCCACAGCTACTGTTTCCTCTAGGAATTCTTTGAATTTGCAGCAAATTTGAGCTTCAGGGTCAAATTCTGATAGGTTTTCCATTGCCAAAGTGTTTTCTGTATGAGTTTGATCCTTCTACATTAGTGAGATATGTAGGAAATTGGCAATATCAGTAGTCTCAATGACTATATTTTGCAGAAGTCTTAAATATTCAGAAAAACGCTCGACATATTTATGATTCTCCTCTGATTACATGTTTGTCAATCCTATTCTGGTGTGAAATTTATGATCATTCTCGAATTCTAAAGGAGTAATATTTTCATAAAGACACAAAGTGTTGTTTGACTACTCACCATACCTTTTATTAGATGCTGGCCTTTACGATAAATGGCTGACACAACTGAATCTACATCTCCAGGTGCTCATAGGACTACATTCCGTTGTCTGTGGGAAGTCCAGTACCATGTTACTTAAGACTGACTTTAATTATTGGCGAATAACAGACTTCACATCTTCAGTATTTTATCTCCCTACTTGTGTGTTATCATGTGCTTCATTCCGCACGGATAAACAAATTGATCGTTAGTGGCGAGACGGCTGATGTTCAATTGACTTGGCCCCTACAACATCACTGCTCAAACACGGAAGCTATTTTAGTCATAAAAGTATATTGGTGACTCCTACAGAGTTCCATACTGACAAGTCGACAGTGGTGATCGTCTTCGACAATTCCGTCCAGATAATCATCTGTTTCTCGTCATCACTAATGTTGAACAGAAATAGAGACCAGTACCATGAAATCGACAATGGACTTATATACACCACACAGAGATAAGCTACTAGTGGAAAGGACTGTTAGAGAACTGTCACTCCTTCCGAAACACTTGCGTGAACTCCGATCTCACATAAGTCCGTAAACTTGTGTACCTAAGGCTGAATACACATAGCAAGGAGGCAGCTACAAAGCCCATGCGTCCCCAACCTCTAGATGAGGAGACGAAGTTTTATCTTAGGGAAGAACTAACTAAATATGCGTCTGGGACTAACAGCAAGACACATCTTGAGGAAGTCTGGAATCATATTCACTGAGTTGTAGAAACACTTATAAAAGCTGCTGAGCACCTGAAACTGAAGGTTGATAAGTGCCGACGGATCTCTGATGCTTCATCCGAACTGACAGGCGCAAGAAGGCCGATTCTACATGACTCTGAACTTGACTAGGAGCTGTAAACATGCTCAAATATAAGCAGGCTAAAAGGTTCCGTAACAGTCATAAGCAGTGTTGAGTGACAGAAGTCAAAAGACAGAAGAGATACCAGGGAACCATCTTAACTCATTGGGGTAGAGGGTTGTAAAACAGTGATAAATGAAACGATTCTGAATAACGGTACTTAAATTAACACTTGAATATTTGATGGGGCGAGTTCTATGATTTACAACAACGTTAACTCTTACTAGCTACCAACACCCACCTGAGTCGGGTGTTGACATCGGTCCTCCAAATGTGATTAAGATTCTTGAAACTCCCCTAAGCCTGAAACGAAATAGAGCAGGAAGTCCTGGTGGAATAACTTTAGAGGTGTTTAAGGACTATAGTGATAGATTACCGCAGGGGTTTACTGAGATATTAGGTGGTGTGTGGGGTCTGATATAGTTCCATCGAGCTAGTGGAAATCATTAATTACCTCAGTATATAAAAACGGATACTAGTCTTCCCGTGGTAATCATGAGGAGATTGGCTTGGCTAGAGTTCCAGACCCAATAATCATGTCAATCTGTGAGATGCTCAGGAGTAACAAACCGGAGAGGGTTTACACCAGGACTAGGTCGTATTAATCACATCTTCGCCCTCTGACAGATTCTGAAACATTTTTTTTCCTTCACGTTCCCCAGTGGAACATAGGGCTTCAAGATAGTGGCTTGAAGTTTCTGTAGCAGTGTTTATTTTACAGGATGAGGTTGCTAGCCTCATGCCCAACCTTTCCTCTTCACCAGCATTATTTCTGGCTTAGCGAGGTAAAGGAGTGCGTCGGCCGGGGATCGAACCCCGGACCATGTACATGGTTGGCGAGCATCCTAACCACTATGCCACCGACGCACGATTCTGAAACATAATCACACTTAACAGCGTCCACCACTTCCCACATTTCTTAACCTGAAGGGTGCATCTGATTCCAACAGCTAAAAAATACCGTGGCAATGTCTGACTTTGAAGGAAGTGCCGAGAAAGTATACCATACCAAGCAAGGCTCCCTAATCTGATCAGTGCAACCATGTTAGAGCTTACGGACAGTTGTGATGACAACCAGCCTTGCCAATCAGCTTTACCTGTCGCCTCCGTTTTTCTTGAGTTTCATCAAGGATATACCGTTGGATGCTACCCTAGTCGACCTTAGGGACTTTGGGATCGGCTTGTTGGTAGGATTAGTCCCATCGACCTATAGTATGAAGATGATATTGTCCTTCTATTTGAAGGTGATGACAAAGTGCAGAGTCTTCCAAACACCTCGAGCAGAAAACTGACTATGTTCAGGATGCAATTTGTCCCTGTCAAATGTGGCATGAGGCTCCAAAAATGATATGCATCGCCTCCCTATCTGAAGGTAGGCACTTAAGTGATCAAATGAGTTAATCACCTGACTTATTTCGGAATTCGTATCATCTTCAATGGGCTGGCTACCAATGAGGTATAAGTACACATATGAAAGGTCTCTGCGGCACTTACCAGCCAACGTTATCTCTGGCTTAGCCACGATGTCCAAGTGATGATCAAAGAATGTGTGTACTGAGTGGCAGTTCGCCTTGTCCTTCATGATTGCGACATGTAGTATTTTAAAATGGAAATCATGAGGTTGCCAACTGCATGTAGCCACAGGCATGGTGATAAACACATTCGTAAGGTAATGATGTATGAAAGTGGATTAACTTCGACTCATAAAATAGCCATTAATAATCCCCTAAAACTGTTAACCCACAGCTTTCTTTGATTCATTACTAGCCACCGACCTGTACTGTTTGAGTAGACCAGTCAGACCGAAGATACACGAACAGGCATTCTCGCCATTTATCACACTTTCGTATTACGTCCAGTTTTTTATAGACGCTTTCTAATGACCGTGTCCTACAGGAAGTCCCCTTTATTTTCATAACTTCCCGTGACATTAAAATATGTACGGATTAGACAGAAGTGATAGTTAAAATATTTAATCAGATCACAACGTCAGTAAGCCACTAAAAATTAGTTTTCAAAGTTGACGTGTTTTGTTATTTCCTACATATCGTATAATCATCAGAAGTCCCATAGAAAAGCGATTCGGCTACAAATCTAACTACACATTTAAGATGATCACAGAGTACTGAAAGACATCAGTGGCAGTAGTCTCTGTCCTAAATTTCTTGTATTAGAAACTGTCTTCATCATTCAAGTATTATTTCTCACGGACTTGAAAGTGTGCTTTAGCTAGAGTTGAGGATGATCACTGTAGTATTTCTTGTCTTCACTCAACAAAATCATTATGAGCCAATTAGTGAACAGTATGAACACTCAGTTAGGTGAAGTCCCCCGGTAAGTGAAGTGCTGTAACCAAAAGTCGGCTGGAAATCATGATATTTTGAAAAGTATGGACAAAAATAAAGTATCCCATAAAACCAGTGGAAAATCAAGTCATATCCAAAAAGATTTCATTAATGTTGAATCTCCCGGCAAACGTAGTTGGGGCAGTTTGGCTGTTTTCTCAAGGAACGGATTCCACAAGTTTGAGGTAGATTGTGAGAACGCGGAAGAACAGTGAAAAGTATCGGTACACTTTTTCATTCCAGTTTAGTCTCCATGCACTTATTTTTGTTTAGATTTACCTATAGGCCTATTAGATTTGTGGAAATCCAGTTGATTTGAAGGCAGATGTCCTAACCAACTGTCACGATTCACCGAGCGATTGAAAAGTGAAGAGCACTGGTGACCTACTGTTCAGAAATACATTTGAGTGTAGGGAACCAAAAAAATTCGTATAAGCAACCCTACTTCGGCCAGTTTTCCTTCAACTGCCGATTCACTTATCTGCATTGATGGAGGCACACCACTACATTCAACACTTTTCTTCATGAATACAGAGTGACTTTCCATGTCTAACTGCCTTGCTGTGAATATGCGTCTCTAAGTCATTGGAATAGTGGAGCCCAAATCTCAGGTCCAGCAGGACAGATGACACCCAATGATCATGACTGTTATGTCAGGTTAAGACCAATAAGAAGACGAGTCCAAGCACCGAAAGTGAGTGGTCCCTTGAAACACCACAAGGAATCATTCATGTAATATTTGCTTTTGATAGAATAAGCGTGCAGTTATTTGTTTGCCTCAAAGCCTGAAGGTCTTTGTCACTACCCCCGGTAGGACGAATTATTGACCTAGTTCACCTTGGTGTCCAGTAGTTTTTGGTTGGTTTTAGTTCACCAAGTAATATTTCTATCTCTTTACGTATGATACCCTTTTTAAATTTTTAACAAAGTCTAATCGTTTCAGAATCCATTAAATGAACAGCATAAGGAGAGAGGTTTTGCTAGTTTTTCTTTCCTCTGCTTTCCCAGTGAAACAGAGCTTCAAGACTTGAAGTTTCAGTAGGCGTGGCACTGTCTTCACAGTGTGGACTGATCTGCTAGTCTCACTTCCAAACTCTCCTCTCTCCCGAGCTTACCACCCCTTAGTAAACTAGGCCTAATTTTGGGGTAAGTTGGGTCGGAACCGAAGCCAAACTTCGTGGGCGGCTGGTGAAATTGGAACCGCCGACTCATTCTGACAAACTGCTGCTGATTTACGCCGAATGATACCCCAAACTTTTCGCTTGCAAATGCAGTGATTATTGTTTATCACTGGTGTACGCTTAGGCAAATGTAAAGATTTGTCATTTTGGAGACACATGTACCAAAAATACCAAGGTATAGTAGTCTGGTTGACCTGAGTGAGTACACGAAAAAGTCAAGGTGTATTCTATATTTAAGGCGATGCGCATCCTGCATTTCGCTGCTAGCGACTATCAGACAGACCATGGATAATATCAAAGTTTCAAGTAGCCTATAAGCCAACAGAGACCAACCAATTCAATTCCATAAAGCCACTGCTGGAAAGACTACAACACTCAGTAAAATGTAGTCAAACAATCTATTACCAAAAAAGTGAGGGAGAGTAACTTACTTCACTTGCTCTTTTCTCTGTTTCTTCTAATTTTGTGTTTGTTTCAACCAGTTGAGTTTGTGCAGTCTCTTTGTCAGTATCAATTTGTTGAATCTTTTTGACTACTTCAGCGGCCTCTTCATCTTTTGTTTGCATTTCCAACTCTTTTTCACGTAGTTTTGCCTCCAGTTGATCAGCTCTTTAAACAGATAGGAGAAAAAAACATAGGAAGTTATTGTTTTAATTGACAAACTTTTTAAACGCTTCTGTGTTTTAAAATCAGTAAGACATCATGGAAGATATTGCTTCATATGCACATCTAGGCTTCAGGCTTCAAGGTTAATCATATAAAATTTCATTTTCATGATTTTATGCCTCCCTATGTGGCCTACTACAAGAAGATTTCTTCTTTTTCACTTCAGTCCAAATGGCGCCCATTCAAACCGGAACCATTCAAGGTGTTCAGTAACATTGCTGAATTCAAACCCATTACCCAACTCTTCAAACACCAAAGCATTATTCTCCAGACCACCAGGAAACAAGAACCATCTCTTGTGCTACGGGTGTGATTTGAAATTATTTGATTCGTGTTTGTGATTTCCCGTTGATATTGCCTGACTGAATTGATCAGATTGAGGTGACTGAATGGATCTCCTGATCTTATCACGATTAGTAACTCTAAGCGGTTCTACATTTGGCTGCACTGAGATAAACCAATGGAATATGATCTTTTTCCTGTTTTATGCAGCCAGTAACACTGCACCAGCCTTATTAAACACAATTCACCCAGTGTACCTACTTAGTCTGCAGCTCGCCCAACGCGTGAGAATGGACATGGAAACGCAAATCAAAAAGACCCAATGATTTGCGACTATTATCCAAACAGCTGTATAATTAAGTAAAATTGAAGGGTGAAGTGATTTGGGGAAAAAGGTTTTCAAACTTATCTGACTGGTATGCCTGACCTGGAGACTCAGAGGATGTGAATGTTAACCAACACTAAGGAAAGCATAAATACTGTTTCACTCTGATTGGAAACATACTCATTGAGACGAAACTTAAACTGCTGGCAGCTACTAAAGGTTAGCTAGGAGTCGTTTCTAGTTAATATTTAGTCAGTTCATTTTACTCGATTCATTTTTGATGTAGAGTCCCTTAAAAGCTTCGCCTTCCTGAATGTATAACTAAATGGAGATTCACCAATACTGGTATTACGCAGATCATTCCACTGATTTTCTTCGTACATCGAGTTTTTGGCTATATTTAAAACAAGGTCAAGTTCTCGACTGTCAGAGTGAGTATACTGACTTGCGATCTGAAAATATGTCTAAGTATATGATATATCGGCCAAATGCTGTATGCAGAACGTCCTTTCCTAACTAAATTTTAGAGAATTTTATGTTCTTCAATCAATTAGTGGATTAAAAAGAACTTTGGGGTTATTTACACCATGATATGAGGTCATGATAAGTGTGTGTGTGACCAACTCCTAATCAAAATGAAAGAACCATTACAATCTATAGTTTACGGCTTAAACTGTTGATACAAGATAAGTTTTTTCAGCTAGTGTCGTCATATTACGTCCGATTGTTTCGCCTCATCGTATCATCAATGACTCAGCCTACTATGCCAAGTGAAACCGGGTACACTGATGATGAATTCAGCCCAGATGGTGTTTAGATTACTTCGGTCTACCTCCTGCCTGATTTGGGTGGATTCCAGCTACCCGTTCCAATGCTATTTGACTAACTTTCTTGATTATCACTCATGGTGCTAAGCAGGCCACATATTGTGATGTGAATAGTTTAAGTTCCCAAAAGGATACCATGGAAAATTGTTACCACGAACTGCGTGTAATTTGCAAACTGCAAATTTGATTCCACAGTTCTCCCCCAAGGATTTCATTTTAATTTCCTTTCGTCAAGTACATTCAGCTCATTTAACCAGTCATAATTCATAGATTAATTTTGCTTTAGTTTTGATAACACCATTTTAAAGGTTGAGTAAAGGTCAAAGGTCAAATAAAATTCCGAATCCCAAAAGGATTTAAACCAGAGACCTTCGGATTCCTGGCCTAACTCTCCATCAAGTGAATCGTTTGATCCATTTGCTACCTATGTTGTAATTTTTCGAGTTATGCTAAGCTGTCGTATATATGTCTGTGACGTAACTGCACATCTTTTCATCGATTGGCAAATTACTCATCTGCCTTTAGAGTCGACAAAAGAAGATCGGGATGAGAAACTAACATAATGTTAAATGAAAAGTTACGTATCCTTCATCTGCATGACATGTGAGCACAACCCGTGATGGCTGCAGTGAAATAATAGCTTGGTTAGCAGCTCTGTATGTTGTAGCTGAAATGGAAGAGCATCTAGTTAGTAATCCATAGGTGAGATAAAACATGTCAGTGGAAGACTGGGGACTGGAAAGTGGTTGAATTCATCAATACGTCAGGTGACATCAGCTAAGACTTATCTTTTCCATGAGGACATTGTCTACCATAAACATGAATTTGAAGGATTCATAGGTTCAGTTCATCTTGTGAAAGCAGTGCGTAGGAAGTGTTAGAATTTAAGGGGGGGTTGCACAGGTCAAAAGTATAGTGGACGGATATATCAGTCACAGGACCAGGTTGGTGAAACCAGGTGAAAAGTCGGTGATGAGTTTAACAGAGATAGGTGTAATACCAGATCTTTGGTATTACTGAAATGGCTTAGATGACCCTGACCCCTTTGCAGCGAGGCAGGGATGCCCCACATATGAAAGACATGGCAGCACATCTTCTTGTCTGCAAACACAAGCACTACACTTAGAAGTGCAGCACACACTCTCTATCGATGCCTTTTCAATGGTGCTTTTGTGCTTTATCAAATGTGAAAGTATCAGAATTAGCATTCGCTTCCGCAAGCTTGACAGAATATCGAAGAAACTCACTAAGTCCCTTTACTGTCAATCGGTCCTTGCACGCTTTTAAATCGAACGTAACATCAAGAAAGAACACGCCCCCAGACAAATTACAGTGCCGAAGAAAAAACTGTTTATGAGTCTTGCATTCAAAGGTGACACCATTTCAGAATTGATTAAAAATCGTTTATCTAAATGTATTAAACGTACTTTTCCTGCAGCTGACTTACAACTAGTTTTTACCAGCCGAAATATGATTAGACAATGCGTCAAGGATAGATTACCGCTTTTGTCCACATCCATGTGTATTTACTCTTTTACCTGCTCTTGTGGAGCGGTTTATATTGGACGTTGTAAGCGTAATCTCCGAAAACGTGTAGCTGAACACTATCCAGTCTGGTTAATGAAAGGCGAACGTAGAACCGCGAAGTCGTCTATCTGTGATCACGTGTTAGAGTCAGGTCATTTAGCCCCACGTGATTCATCTTTCAAAATTATCTACATGGCAAAATCGAATCGATCCAAAAGTTTACGTTTTCTTCACTTATGCATAGCCGAAGCTTTAGCTATACATGAACAGAAACCTAAATTATGTGTTCAAAAACGTTTTGTCAAACCCTTTTCTTTACCTTGGTCATAGTAATGTTCTTTCTAGTTTTTACTTTATTTTATTTTACCACTTGAATTCTTTCCACTTCACTTCACATCTTCATTCTTATCGTAATCGTACTTTTATTTTATAAAATTTTTTTAGACAACACTTGACCTTTTTAAAACATTTTTCAATTCACTTATAAAACAATCTTTAATAATTTTGTAATTCATCCACTTCAACTCCACCCCTTATAACATTTTAATTATCGTTATTCTTATCACATATATGTATATTGACTGAGCAATTATTTAGTGCCACTTAATGACCTTTTCTGTAATATAAATACGACTGTACAGCTTGAAAATGAAGTCGTTGAAAAGAAATTTCTTCGCTGAACAAAAACTGTGTTTTTACTTATGAATAAATGAGTATTTTTCGTGATTTAAATGTGAAAGTGCTTAAAAACGAGATTTGCAGTGACCCAGGTAAAAAAGCTCAGTTGTTTGGCTTAATCTCCAAAGAACAATTTTTCAGAGATTAGTCGTCAATAACCTATTTGATGGAAGCAGAAAAGACACTTAAAAGTAGACCACCGGCAACTGTTTCCTATAGCTCAATTTGAATAGACATTCTATCTTCCAATAACATTTTATTGACCTGGGATTCTGGTAGAGTATCTGAGATCGAAACAGTATCATACAAATGACGGAGGCAGGATCAGCTCCCTGTCGATGCGATTGGGAGCCAGTGGAAGAGGAAATATTTAGAAGTTTATAATCAGGCGTATTAAGTTTACTTATTAAAGGTATTTGGAAACGGTAAGCACCTTTAAGGATATGTACCTGAATAGAGGAGGCAGATGGTGCAAGAGTAAATTGTAACATTCCTGTATCCAGTAAATAATACTGTTTCACTGTGTGATAAATCTAATAAACAAACTAATATGGAATTTCTGTATATTTTTCAGAGGTAGACTAGGAAAAATCAGCTAGTTTTGAGAGGGAGTAGTCAATTCCTTTATCTGTCCCTTTTACTTGATTCTTTTATGTGAAAAATTCATACTACTTACTACAAGGTAAGTAGTTGAAGTATATTCTTCATTTTTTCACAATGACTTTGCCGTTGAAGTTTAACTCACTTAATGTATTACTAACCTATTTTAATGTATAGTAATTATTTTCCTATAGTTAAACATTATACTTTGTATGTACTTTATTTATTTACCTATTATTGTTGAACTCTGTTTGTTCAAATCCATTTATTCTGTGTCTGTTTAAATATGCACGTGGTTCGTCTTTGACATTGCTTCGACGTTTTTCTTATTGAGGCATATTAACTGCGCTTTTGATGGCAGCCAGCCACAGACACCTTACAATTAGACATTTGTATGTTATATTTCAACGATCTTATCTATAATATAGTTCTGTATTCTAGACAAATCCTGTGTTTTTGAATTTTACGCGTCACTCTACGTGTTCTGGATTTCTTTTGGGATCTCCTATGGTTTAGTCGAAAATGATATTTTGTTGATAAGTCCAATAACAAAACAAATCTCTTATTTTTGTCAAATAAATACAGTAATACTTCAGTGTGAGTGTACAGTTTAGATATAGAGTAATAGTCAACAGTTTTAAATGTCGGTGGTGTGACATATGCTATTAACAAGAATTTGTGAGTAGTATATTGTTTTTGTGATG